GAATTAAATAATAACTTATGTAATAAATGTATATGTATTGTTATAAACATTATTTTATGCGTATGTTTTCTTACCTATTATTACTGCATTTGAATTTAAGGCTGGTAAAAGGATATTTTTTGTTATATCTCCAGGTCCACAACCAATATCCATACATTTACCAGACATTTGTGCTATATCTTCCTCAAATTCGTCGATTAAATTCAATACATGCTGTTTTTGCACATCGTTACAAGAAGCATATTCTTTCGCATTCATTATTTTTACAATTTGAATAAATCTTTATTTTTTGTGTAGTTCGAGACTATTTCAAAAGACAATCTTATATACTCTGTTATATGATAGGGATACAGAAGCATGTAAAAGTTGCCTCTGCACGTATCAAGTCGAGATTGGTATCATGGATTGGCATCTATGTGTCTAAAAAATCCTGTAAATATCAACCTTAAAATTGCATTTTTATAGGAATTATGGAGAGGGAAAGCAAAATCAAAAAAGTTATTTTTCTCGAAAACCGCTGAACTAATTTTGATGAAAAAAATATATGTTATAAATATTAACAAGACTATTTTGAGAATAAATTAAAAAAAAATTCTGACAAAAATACAAGTAAAAACAATTTTTGAATATTTTAAAATTTCTTTGGTTTTCAAGGTTACGTTTTAGAGATACACCTTAAATTTTTTTTTTAAAGAAAACCTTAAAATGTCTGCTTTAACATCTATTTTTTCCAAATTTTTCATAGAGGTCTTTCATGGTGAAAAATGATGAAAATCATGCATGCATCACGCTTTCACAGCACATTCTCGCTGCAGCCACGTATATCTATTTCGACTGACCGGTTGACATTATACGAGTATTAAACTAATTTTAGTCTGTCATCATATGTCATCTTTGGCACCTCCCGAATCCGCTATTCATTTATTTTCAACTTTCTAAAGCTTATGACAGATAGCACAGGCTTGCGAGGTATCTGTTTTTAAGATGCAATAGTGATTTCCGATGTAATTTTGTGAGCTGAATTCGAATCTGGCCGCCGAATTTGCGTAGCACGTCACGTTTTTTAGTAATTTGTAATTGAATGGCTCAAAAATCGCTATTTTGACCAATTTCATGAATTTATTGCGAGGAAACCAAATTTTTTGAAATATTTCTGCCAATGACATCGTATAATACTCATTTTCGCATTTCAAATCCACTTTCGATTAATCCGCTGCACGATTTTTTTTCGCTGAGATATATAAGTATGAAGTACGTTGTAAGAAAATTTACGTTAAAGAAAATTTATATAGACATCAATATGGTAGATCCATAATCCTGAAATTTGGAAAGACTGACATATGTCAGGTTCGGTTGGCCAAAAAAATATTGTAAAGAAATGTCTAATACAGTTGTTACACATTTTGATAATTTTTTCTAAATTTTATGCCTTTTTATTATAATTCTATTCGCCATATTGGATGCGCCATTTTTAATTTCAAAAGGTGACAGAAAGTATTTAAAAATGTATATTTTACCCTAATTTTAATTTGTAGTGAAATAAAAAAGAGGCACAGTTGATTTAGAATGGCTTATTAAATCCTTATGCATGGCCATCTTATAATCTTGTATATCTGAGCAAAAAAAAATCGTGCGGCGAGGGGAGGGGGGTAATCAAAAGTGGATTCGAAAGATCCCAATCCATGATGCCAATATCGACTTGTGCGGAAGCAACTTTTACATGCTTATCCCTAGGCTTTTTATCAATGACGAAAAAAATTGAATGAGTTTGCATTTTTAATTTATTTTTTATTCTATTTGTTTACTATTAGTAATAGTTAGGTAATAGTAATAAAATAATATTTTTAGTCTATTCAAAGTAATATTTTCATAGTTTTATATGCTCAATTACAACAAAATTTAACTTACAAAAATATTTATATAATCATATTTTTAAAATATCAATAATTATGAGAGAGAAAATATGAAAACTACAATAACAAATAATTAATTTTAATTATTATAAAATTTCTTTGAAATTAATTGTGAACTAGTAAAAAGCAAATTATAATAAAAAAATTACAAAAACAAGACAGGTAACCACGGCATTGATGTACGATCTTGGAAAAGCAAATCTTGGAAAAGTAAATTAAATCATCAAAGTCATAATAGTAATGTTCAATAGAAAATTATAATACAAATCGTATATAAATTACACAAAAATAAGTGCAAACGTTTCGATCTCATCCAGATTCTTCTCAATGCTGTTTTTAGAAATAATAATATTAAAAGAAATAGAGTCGCTCGCAGAAATGATAATATAAAAAGAAATAGAGTCGCAACATAAGGTCAATATCAAATTCGTCAAAAAATTGTCCATGTACATAATATTAAAGTTGGTATTATTATAAATTCCGTTTGCAAACGGAATTTATAATAATAAAAAATATAAGACTCGAAGTATAAAAATTAAAAAAAATTCAGTGATAATAGCAATACAAGTCAAGTGTCGATCCTATGAATAATTAATTAAACAAAAAAAAGCATGGAATATATTACAAAGAAAGAATGGCGAACGTTTCGACGGAATTTACAATCTCATGAGAGACAAAATGCTCAAATAAAACATAGAAATATACATATATGTATGAGGTGATGCCTACGAGTCCGCATGTTATTCACTTATCATACACAGCAAAGATTGCAGCTGTGTGGAAAAAAGGATTGCACAAAAAAGAGAATATGCATGGATAAGGCCGGCAGAGATACCGCAAAAACATCTACATTCTGACCAAGCCGAAACAATCCTTATTTTGCAATCCTTAAATTGATAATGCAGACAAGCCGGGATCTAAAAAATAAATTAAAGCAGGCAAAGCAACACGCATTCTCGCACACAAATCAAGCAAAAAAACATATATATAAAAATTGCAGTCATAAAAATGCTTAAAAATTAAAAGTATATGAAAATTGATATACCGCAATACGTACGAGCAATAAATTATGTAGAAAGATGAAATAACAGCAAGCAATGAAATAATTTCAAAAAAGATCGAGAGCAGTAGGCAACCGATGTATCGCAGATGAAACGGCGCGAAATACTGAGCCAAGCGAAGACGAGACATTGCCCGTGCCCATAGCATGGAAGGGGAAGGGGAGAAAGAAATTCAAGAACAGAGCAAACCTGTGGATCTGCACTGAGAAAAAAATCTGATTGTATCAATTAGAATTCTGCCAGATTCAACCTATTTCTGTGTAATTTATATACGATTTGTATTATAATTTTCTATTAAACATTACTATTAAGACTTTGATGATTTAATTTAGTTTTCCAAGATTTGCATAGTACATCAATGTCGTGGTTATCTGCCTTGTTTTTGTAATTTTTCCTAGATACTTATCTTGCAAGCCACTTTAATTTAATTATTTTTTTTCTTCAAATTATAATATTTATAACAAATAAAATTATATTATTAGAGCATAAAGAATAAATAAGTTATTAAAATATTATTAAAAGGTAAATATATAAATATATTTATTATTACGAATGATTAAGTAATATCTAGTTTTTAGTTTTTATATAACATGTAATATTTATAAATAATCAAAACATATACGAAAAAAGCTATAAGGACCAAACAAAAACGCTATAATTAGAGCAAATGATCGTAAATATATAATTAAGGTAATGTCTATTAAAGCATATTTCGGTTTATTTCAGACTCTCTAATTGAATAATACACTAAAACATGATAACAGTTAAATAGAATAATATACCATCTCTAACAAAAATAAACATAAAGCTTAAAACGATTATTTATACACGTTGTTAAGAAATAAAATAAGATCGAGAAAGTTAAATAGAGATAAGTTTTCGTCGTAATAAGTCAAAAGGTTAAATACAATGACAATAAGTATGCGCATTTCTTACAAACGAACATTAAGAAATATTCCATAGCCGCACATAAACGCACTGTACGAAACAATCATTACATATAATGCAATGGGTAATCTTTACGAATAATCGCTCACCTTCTATGACTGACAAAAATTATTCTTTAATTCTAAAAACTTTTTCTTTGATTCGAAAAATTCTTTGATCAAGTGACATATGATAATTGGCACACAATTGGTATATGGAGAGTGAAGCTGCGCAATTTTCTCTTGCACGAGCTGTTTGGAGCTTGATCAAAGAATTTTTTGAACCGAAGAAAAAGTTTTTAGAACTAAAGAATAATTTTTGTTAGTTATAGGAGATGAGCATTTCGCAAAGATTACAATGCATTATAATAAATGTTTCATACATTACGACTGTTGAAAATTTCTCAACGTTTGTTTGCAAAAAATGCGCAGACTTATCGTTCATTATATTTGACTTTTCCATTTATCACTTATCTCTATTTAATCTTTTCAAACTTATTTTATTTTTTAACAACAGTGTGTACAGACAATTGTTTTATATTTGTTTTTGTTACACATAATCTACAATGAGTCATTAGGCTCAAGTAAATTGACCAATTACAATGGATTATTTTTGAAATATCGATTGTACATACTATACGACTGATTGTCTATACATACTGTTGTTAAAAAATAAAATAAGATTGAAAATTAGATAAAGATTTTAGACTAGGCATTAGAAATGGTAGGACATTCTATTCGGAAATAAACCGAAACATATATGCTTTAATAGACATTGTCTTAATTATATAATAGTAATTATATATTTACGAACATTTGCTCTAATTATTGCGTTTTTGTTTGGTCCTTATTTTTTTCGTATATCTTTTGATTATTTATAAATATTACATGTTATATAAAAACTAAAAACTGGATATTACTTAATCATTATATTTATTAATAAAGAAAATATATTGACAACATTGAACGATTTTTTACTATGATAAAAGATATCTTATGCATTGCATATCTAACTCATTATAAATTGAAACAAGATTACAGTTTTTATTAGTTTCAATTTTTCAATTTATAATTATAATATTGCATTTATTTATGCAATGTTATACAATTTTTCGTGCATAAACTATTAAGATTTTGTATAGATCTATAAAATTTGTTTGTTCCTGATTATTCTGTATTGTTTTACAAGCAAACTTTCTTTTCATAAATTCACGTATAAATTCATTCCTGAATTCTTCTTTCTGATCGTGTGACAGTTTGTCCAAAAATGGGTAGATGGCTAATATCGAAGCTGTCGAAGTAATCGAGGTTAGATTAAATTACTAGAGTTAAATTAAATTAAGATTTAAATAAATAAGAAACGATTGAGCAAACTTATGTGATAATAATTACATAAAGCATAAAATCTAATTTTTATATTTTTTTAAAACAACTTACATAAAAAATTTTGCATATTTTGGAAGGAATATGTCACTTCTCGAAGACTGCAATGGCAAACATCAAATCCAATACTTTTAAGTAATTTCCTCAGTTCTTTATGAGGAGTGATTGAATCATTAAATGGCGAAATGTAGTTTCTGACATCCTATGTAAGAATAATAATTAAGCGTGTATAATTGCAAAATTAATGAAACATGAAAATAATAAGATTTACTTGTATGTATGATGCAAAACGAATATCTTGAGCCAAAATTTTAATAATTTCAAATACATCATGAGACGCTACTATAAGCATAAGAATATTTCCACCAGGTCGAATCATCTGGAAAATATTCTCAAACGCTTGTCTGTTAAAAAAGAATAGATAAATATATATAATTTTCGAAGCTTTTATGTTATTGCGCGATTTTTAGTTTCAATTTTTAATAAGATTCTTAAAATAAGATATAACTATTTTAATAAGATATATTAAATTAATATATTAAAACTATATATATTAATATATTAAAACTCTTATTCCTTTCTCTTTAAATTTATGATATAATGTGATAGAATTGTTAAGAAATATTATGAAAATAATTGTAGGTCTTAAAATATTGAAAAATTTAAGTTTTTATAAGCAAAACTTTATTTTAAATAATTAAATATTAGGCTGGGGAGAAAGTAATTCGAGTCATGGATAAATGGCGGTACAGCCTGTAATAATAATTTTTGTTAATAACTTTTGTTTTGTTTTTTTTGAAGTTGTCTATCCTACATTAAAATTACTGCAAGACAAGTCTTTTTGTCTGTCATAATGTATGTTTATTTTGATTTAACAAGATGCTAAATAAAATCCATATTCGTCATTGCCTGCTTATATTTTTCAATTAAAAAAAAAATGTTGCCAAAGTTAAACGACTGATTTGTAAGCCATATGAAAAGAATGCTGTCTCTATGAAGAATGGTTTAAACACTTCAAAAGTGAAAATTTTCGAAGACAAACTGCGTCTTGAGTAGTCAATGGAAGTAGCAATAGGAGATTTGGAGGCGTTAAAAGAAGATTCGGTACAATCGACATCAAACAGTTATCGCTGATTTCTACAACCAATTTAAATGCGACATTGCTCGAAATAGTCATTATATGCCTCAAACCTCACCGATTTAAAGCCATCCTTCTATAAAAACAATGCTCGATCTCATACCGCTGTAATTATCGTGAATATCTTATTCGACTTCAAAGTCCTTTTGCCTATTCTTCAGATAGGGCACTTTTAAATTATTACCTATTTCGATGTAGTACGATTTGAAAAAACAACGCTTTAGAAGTATAGCCAAAATCAAGAAATTAAAAAATTCTTTTCAATAAAGAAAATAGTCTTTTATCATTACAGAATACAACTTCTGCCTGAAAGATGGCAGAAAATAATAGAATCATACGACAATTACAGTTGCGCTCATAAATATTTTGACAAACAGTTTTCGGTACGCGCACAACTAAAAGTCAATATGATAAACAAATTTGTCAGTCACGTATGACGTCTGGTAAGAGATCATGTACAAGTCACAAATAAATCCGAATTATCAACAGTTATTACTTTTTATTTTTCGTTTTCATTATTCGCTTGGATCGTAAGTATTTTGACAAATATTTTTGAGAGCATTAAATCTAAAAAAAGATTTTATTAATGTTTTGAAATTGATTTAAATGTTAGAAATATTATACTGAAGAGGAAAGAATATTCTGTGGAAATGAGAGAGCCTGTCATTCGTGCTTTGAATGAAGAACGTACACAATCAAGTGTCTCCTGATTTTGGCATATCACGACAACTTGTAAGTGTTTGGAATCGTCGCTATAAAGACAGACGTGAAGTATACAACAAGAGTAGGTCGTGATGTACATGAAAAACAGCTATTCAGGAAGAAAAAAAATTAATTAAAAGACAGTCTATAGCAGATTCTCAAAAATCTGCCACAGCTATTGCTAAAGATTTACATGAAAATTTTGGAATAAATGTACATGTTTCTACCATAAAACGACGTCTCAAAGAATAAGATTTAATAGCTCGATGGCCCAGTAAAAAACCTCTAATTTCTAAAAAGAACAGAAAAGCCCGAATAACGTTTGCTAAAGCTCATCAAAATTGAACATCAATTGAGTGGTCTAAGGTACTATGGAGTGATGAAAGTAAATTTAATTTATTTTATTCCGTCGGAATTCAACTTCTGCCTGAAAGATGGCTAGAAAATAGTAGAATCTTACGGCAATTATTTTAATTGAACAAAATGTTGCGATCATTTCTTTTTAATATATATTTTTCAGAAAAAAATCTAAATTACTTTCTCCACATGCTAATATAATTAACAAGTGATATTTAGTTTTTAATTTTTATTATACGATATTTATAACTCTGATAGTTAATTTTTAATTTCTTTTATTTAAAAATATTACGTATTAAAAACTAAAATTAAGTATCACGTATTCATTGCATTTATCAAAGAACAATCTTGACAAACATTGAAGAATTTTTTAAACATCATAGAAAGTATATTATTCATTATACATTTAGCTTATTATAAATTGAAATAAAATTATTATATGAATTAGTTTTAGATTTTCAATTTATAATTATATTACATTTTTATCAGAGACGGTATTGATTTTGAACGTATTTTTTACAATTATATGTTATATCTATAATAATGTTTTCTTCCGATTTTATAAAATTTTTTGCACGCTATATAATTTGCAACAGAATTCAAGCTAGAATTCTATTTATTGTATATGTAACACATAAAATAATATATATTTAAGTAATATATATTTAATATAATTATTCTTTTAATAAGATTAGAATTTTATCTTTAATTTTGTCATGACTATAGTTATGATTATAATCATGACTATAGTCTAAATGAGATAATTTATTAAAATGACTTTTTTTAATAATTTAATAAAATGACTTTTAATTTGCTAAACATTTAAATATAATTAATTAGTTGATTCATTCACATTTACATTATGTGAAATGATAATTGAAGATTTATCAACAACTTTTACAATTTCGATGTTGATCCGATCAGAATTTCAATGTTTTTTCAAGATTTGGTTTTCGATGTTAACTAGTTCGATTAATTATATGTTTTTGATTGCCTAAGAATCAAAGAATCGCAATTATGTAAGACACTGTGATGGCGGCTTAGACCATATTTATTTATAAATTTTAACTTACCTAATATCATAACACCAATGTAAAGTGTAAAATGAAAATATATGATCAAATTCAGAAATATATTTTTCAGGCAAATTTTTAGTTTGGATATCTAACACTTCGAATTTGAGCTGTTTTTCATTAGAATATATTTTTTTTACAAATTTGATCATATTTTCCGAAATATCGGTACCTACAAAATATGCAATTATTGAATTAAATAGTAATGTAATAAATAGTTATGTAATAAATGTATGTGTATTGTTATAAACATTATTTTATGCGTATGTTTTCTTACCTGTTATTATTGCATTTGGATTTAAGGCTGGTAAAAGGATATTTTTTGTTATATTTCCGGGCCCACAACCAATATCCATACATTTACCAGACATTTGTGCTATATCTTCCTCAAATTCGTCGATTAAATTCAATACATACTGTTTTTGCAGATCGTTACAAGAAGCATATTCTTTCGCATTCATTATTTTTGTTAGAGCACCTTGTCGTGGTTATCGTGAAAAATACGATTAAATTTAACACACTCCTCTGAGAAATGCAGACTTTATTGTTAAAATTATTTGAACTTATAATTAGTGTTATATAAACTTTACTCTTTGGTAACTCTTCTTGGTTTTTATGTTAAACTTTTGATACGGAAGCGACAAGCACACGTCTGCACACGTCGGTGCACGGGAAGAGACACACAAAAAAAATGTAAGAGACGCGCGGCAAGCGCAACGGCAGTGCCAGCTAGACATTGTGACCAACCTCATAACATAAAAAGAAACTGTGGTCACAAAAGAAATTTTTACATATATCCAACACTTCCCCTTAAAAATTTAAAAAGAAATAAAAGACAAAGGAGACACAAATTTATGAAAATGAACCTAATGACTCTATGCATTTATAATGCTTATTTAAGGGTAGTGCCTTAGTAAATATATCAGCAATCATTTCTGCGCTACACAAACAGTCCAATCTTATTAGATGATTCTTTAAAGTCTCGTGCACAAAATGATGCCTGACATCAATATGTTTTGTCCTCCCATGATAAACTGGATTCTTTGCTAGCTCTTGTGCGCTGGCACTATCATTGTAGATTGTTAGCGTAGAAAGCTTCTTTAATCCGATCTCTGTCAAAAATCTCTGTAGGTAGATAGCCTCCTTGGTAGCTTCTGTTAGACCCATATACTCTGCTTGAGTGGAAGAAAGTGCAACAGTCCGCTGTTTTCTCGACTCCCATGTAATTGGTGCATGACTGAGAAAGAAAACAAATCCTGTATATGAACGTCGATCATTCATACAGTTACCCCAATCAGAATCCACATAGCCCTTAAGGCTTTCTTGACTTGGGCTGTAAATCAATGACATCTCCAGTGTTCCTTTGAGATATCGTAAGACTCTCTTTGCTGCAGTCCAATGTTCTGGTCCATAATAACTGTTGAACTGACTTAAGTAACTTACCGCATAAGCAATATCTGGCCGTGTGCTCACTGCCAAATACATTAAACATCCAATTAACTCACGATAAGGGATATCCAAAGCCTCTGGATGATTTTCTTGTTTGGATAACTTCAAACTCGTCTCCATCGAAGTTTTTGCTGGGTTTGCATCCTTCATGTTGAATCTAATAATTAAGTCTTTAATATATCCTTTTTGGTTTAGAATAATACTGTTATTCTTTCTAGAAAATTCAATTCCTAAACAATACTTTATTTCTCCTAAATCTTTGATTTTAAGTACTTGACTTAGATGATCCTTGAAGTCTTGTATTTTACTTAAATCCTTTGATGCTACTATTATATCATCGACATATGTAAGTATCAAAATAATGTCTTCCCCTTGACCTTTATAATATACACAGGGGTCCGCACTTGATGGCTCCATATTTTCTTAGCTCCTTGTCAAATTTTGTATGCCATTCACGACCGGCTTGCTTTAAACCATATAAGGCTTTTCGGAGTTTACATACTTTATCTCCTGACTTTAATTCTTTTAGCATATTAAGAGCCTTCCTCTTGATGTGACTTTCTTTTTCTTCATTGTCGATTAATTTTTGTAAGATATTATCTAATCGCTCTGGAACCTCCATATATATATATCTTCCGTGATGGGGCTATTTAAGAATGCTGTTGTAACATCACATTGATGAATATGCATTTTATAATGCGCTGCAATAGCTACTAAAAATCTTACAGAACTTAGTCTTGCGACAGGTGCAAAGGTTTCATTGAAGTCCATCCCGGGCTTTTGACTAAATCCACGTGCAACGATTCTTGCTTTACGCTTTTCTATGTGTCCATCCGGTTGACATTTATTGATTAAAACCATACGACTTCCAACAATATTTTTGTCTTTTGGTGTGTCAACTAACCTCCAGGCATCATTTTCTATAATAGACCTTAACTCTGTTGCCATGGCAGAATACCATTCATCGACATCCGGTCCTTTTATTGCTTCCTTCATACAGACTTCTACAAGCATTCCTGATTCTTCGGGTACAATCATATTATAACTCTTCTTTGCTCGTCCTCTTATTCCTGTTCTAACGATCCTTGGTCGGCCTGGACCTCTTCTTAAAAAAGTATCTTCTTGGTAATTTATGGATTCATCATCCTCTTCATGGTCACAGTCCTCTTCTATCATGATTTCTGAATTATTTACATCATACTGCTTTGGCATTTCTTTAATCTCAAATGGTACTATGCATTCCGATCTGATCTTCCTGAGAATCTCTACGTTTCGAAATTTTGTGATTATCATAATAAGATTTTTCCAAGAACTTTACATCTCTACTTATACTTATCTTGTCCGTATTTGGATCTAATAGACGAAAACCTTTTGCGTCATCAGCAATACACATAAATCTTAATTCTTTAGCTTTATTGTCCCACTTCTTTCTTAATTCCTTTGGGACGTGTACATATACTTTCGATCCAAATACAATCATGTCCTCTAAATTCGGTGTCTCATTACACCATCTCTTTAATGGAGTAGTACCTGTTGCCTTAGTTATAATACGATTCTGTAGATAATTTGCTGTATTGATAGCCTCACCCCAGTACTTATTGGGTAATTTTGCTTCAATGAGTAGACATCTCGCCATTTCAACCAGTGACTTATTTTTCCTTTCTGCGACTCCATTTTGTTCCGGAGCATAGGTTACTGTATACTGTGCTTTGATACCCTCTTCCTTCCTCTTCCCCTCTTCCCCCTTCCTCTCCCTTCCCTCTTCCCCAACAACTCTTGAAGTTTTTGATTAACATACTCCTTTCCTCTATCTGAGTGAATAACTTTTGGTACGCCTTTGAACTTCGTTTTAACTGCCTTTATATATTCTCGAATTTTATCCGGCACTTTCGATTTATGTCCAATGACGTATACCATCGTGTATCGACTGTAATCATTAATCATGGTTAATATGTATCGTTTCTTATCTGGTGTCATTGTTTGCATAGGACCACAAACATCTATATGAACGATATCTAAAATTTCTTCTGATCGATGCTGTGAAGACTTGGAGAAAGAGTTTCTGGTCATTTTTTCTTTGAGGCATGTTTCACATACTTCTCTGATACCGCAATCCTTCATATGTACACCTTTAATTTCTCCTTTATTTATTATGTCTTTAATTGCTTTGGGATCTCTGTGTCCTAGTCTTCTGTGCCATTGATACTGACAATTTTTATCATGCACTTGCGCAACGGAGAGAACCTTATTGTCATTCTTTAGCTTGTACAAATTTCCGTAAATATCACCTACTGCAACACTTTGGCCTTCATACATAATATTGCATGTTGTATCTTCAAAGATGACTTTCAATCCTTTTTCGGTTAACTTCTTAACTGATAATAAACTTTCTCTTAGATCTGATACGAACAATACATCTTTTACATTAACGCTGATGTGTTTTCCTTTGTCATTTTGACAAATAATGCTTCCTTCACCAATACCATGAACCTTAAGATATCTACCATCTGCTACTTTTATTTCGTCAGTATCACAGCTATAAATATCTTTGAAGAAGCCTTTATTATTTGTCATATGACTGGTTGCACCGGAATCTACATACCATCCTTGATAGTTCGTCTCTTTATTGTCATCAGTTACACCGAAACAAAAATCTGATCTTTGATTTTTATTTGAGACTGTATTTGCTTTCTCCTTATTTTCCTTCCATCGTTTATACTTTGTACAATCCTTCTTCATATGACCTTGTTTCTTGCAAAAGAAACAGCTAAGTTCTTTAGATTTCTGTACTTGCTTCTGCTGCGTAGCATGTTTGTGAGATATTTTGAGAGCTGTATCCTCACCTTTATTTTCATAACCTCTCATGTCCTTGCGTCTTCTATCTTCATCTATGAGTTTTCCTTTTACCAATTGCAAAGTTAGTTCATCCTCCGCTCTGGTCTCTAGCGCTGTGACGAGCGTACTATACGATTCGGGGAGACTGGTTAAAAGCATAGCGATTATTAATTTTTCTTTTAATATCTCACCTAGTGCGGCTAACTCGTCCACCATATTCAATGTTCGATTTATGTGTGTCTCTATGTCACCACTTTCCTCAAGTCTCATATTGCATAATCTCTTTAATAAATACACTTGATTCGTGAGTGATGTCTTCTGATGATAAGACGCGTGCCATGTTTCTCGCGCGGATATGGCGTCCCTTATATACCGCAACTGGTCGTCTTCCACCAACAAGCCTATTGTAGCTTTTGCTTGTCTATCCGGCTTCAACCACTTCTCATCAGGATTATCTGGTCTTATTTCGTTTATTGTATGCCATAACTCGTCCTTTATTAGCAATAGCTCGACTTCATATTTCCAGATCTGATAGTTTCCGTTATTCAACTTTACAATCGAAAAGCGAGAATCTGCCATCTTTATTTCTTACACGAGGTCTGGGCCCATAACCTGTTAGAGCACGTAGTCGTGGTTATCGTGAAAAATAAGACACACTCCTTAAGTTAAATTTAACACACTCCTCTGAGAAATGCAGACTTTATTGTTAAAATTATTTGAACTTATAATTAGTGTTATGTAAACTTTACTCTTTGATAACTCTTTGGTTTTTATGTTAAACTTTTGATACGGAAGCGACAAGCACACGTCTGCACACGTCGGTGCATGGGAAGAGAAATAAAAAAAAATGTAAGAGACGCGCGGCAAGCGCAACGGCAGCGCCAGTTAGACATTGTGACCAACCTCATAATATAAAAAGAAACAGTGGTCACAAAAGAAATTTTTACATATATCCAACAATTTTTACAAGTTTGAATAAACCTCTATTTTTTGTGTAGTTCAAAACTATTTCAAGAGACAGTCTTATATACTCTGTTATATGATAGGGATACAGAAGCATGTAAAAGTTGCTCCTGCAAGTATCAAGTTGAGATTGGCATCATGGATTGGCATCTATGTGTCTAAAAAATCCTGTAAATATCAACCTTAAAATTGCATTTTTATAGGAGTTATGGAGAGGGAAAGCAAAATAAAAAAAGTGATTTTTCTCGAAAACTGCTAAACCAATTTTGATGAAAAAAATATATGTTATAAACATTAACAAGACTATTTTGAGAATAAATTTAAAAAAAATTCTGACAAAAATACAAGTAAAAACAATTTTTGAATATATATAACGCAATAATTAGAGCAAATGATCGTAAATATATAATTAAGATAATGTCTGTTAAAGCATATTTCGGTTTATTTCTCTAATTGAATAATACACTAAAACATGATAACAGTTAAATAGAATGATATACTATCTCTAACAGAAATAAACATAAAGCTTAAAATGATTATTTATACACGTTGTTAAGAAATAAAATAAGATCGAGAAAGTTAAATAGAGACAAGTTTTCGTCGTGATAAGTCGAAAGGTTAAATATAATGACAATAAGTATGCGCATTTCTTACAAACGAACATTAAGAAATATTCCATAGTCGCACATAAACGCACTGTACGAAACATTCATTACAATGCAATGAGTAATCTTTACGAATAATCGCTCACCTTCTATGACTGACAAAAATTATTCTTTAATTCTAAAAACTGTTTCTTTGATTCGAAAAATTCTTTGATCAAGTGACATATGATAATTGGTACACAATTGGTATATGGAGAGTGAAGCTGCGCAATTTTCTCTTGCACGAGCTGTTTGGAGCTTGATCAAAGAATTTTTTGAACCGAAGAAAACGTTTTTAGAACTAAAGAATAATTTTTGTTAGTTATAGGAGATGAGCAGATGAGCAAAGATTACAATGCATTATAATAAATGTTTCATACATTACGACTGTTGAAAATTTCTCAACGTTTGTTTGCAAAAAATGCGCAGACTTATCGTTCATTATATTTGACTTTTCCATTTATCACTTATCTCTATTTAATCTTTTCAAACTTATTTTATTTTTTAACAACAGTGTGTACAGACAATTGCTTTGAGTTTTATATTTGTTTTTGTTACACGTAATCTACAATGAGTCATTAGTCTCAAGTAAATTGACCCATTACAATGGATTATTTTTGAAATATCGATTGTACATACTATACGACTGATTGTCTATACATACTGTTGTTAAAAAATAAAATAAGATTGAAAATTAGATAAAGACTTTAGACTAGGCATTAGAAATGGTAGGACATTCTATTTAACTGTTATCATGTTTTAACATATACGTAGAAGGATCAGAAATAAACCGAAACATATATGCTTTAATAGACATTGTCTTAATTATATAATAGTAATTACATATTTACGAACATTTGTTCTAATTATTGCGTTTTTGTTTGGTCCTTATTACTTTTTTCGTATATCTTTTGATTATTTATAAATATTATATGTTATATAAAAACTAAAAACTGGATATTACTTAATCATTATATTTATTAATAAAGAAAATATATTGACAACATTGAAGGATTTTTTACTATGATAAAAGATATCTTATGCATTGCATATCTAACTCATTATAAATTGAAACAAGATTATAGTTTTTATTAGTTTCAATTTTTCAATTTATAATTATAATATTGCATTTATTTATACAATGTTATACAATTTTTCGTGCATAAACTATTAAGATTTTGTATAGATCTATAAAATTTGTTTGTTCCTGATTATTCTGTATTGTTTTACAAGCAAACTTTCTTTTCATAAATTCACGTATAAATTCATTCCTGAATTCTTCTTTCTGATCGTGTGGCAATTTGTCCAAAAATGGGTAGAAGGCTAATACCGAAGCTGTCAAAGTAATCGAGATTAGATTAAATTACTAGAATTAAATTAAATTAGGATTTAAATAAATAAGAAAAGATTGAACAAACTTATGTGATAATAATTACATAAAGCATAAAATCTAATTTTTATATTTTTTTAAAACAACTTACATAAAAAATTTTGCATATTTTGCGAGGAATATGTCACTTCTCGAAGACTGCAATGGCAAACATCAAATCCAATACTTTTAAGTAATTTCCTCAGTTCTTTATGAGGAGTGATTGAATCATTAAATGGCGAAATGTAGTTTCTGACATCCTATGTAAGAATAATAATTAAGTGTTTATAATTGTAAAATTGATGAAACATGAAAATAATAAGATTTACTTGTATGTATGATGCAAAACGAATATCTTGAGCCAAAATTTTCATAATTTTAAATATATCATGAGATGCTATTGTAAGTATAAGAATATTTCCACCAGGTCGAATCATCTGGAAAATATTCTCAAACACTTGTCTGTTAAAAAAGAATAGATAAATATATATAATTTTCGAAGCTTTTATGTTATTGTGCGATTTTTAGTTTCAATTTTTAATAAGATTCTTAAAATAACATATAACTATTTTAATAAGATATATTAAATTAATATATTAAAACTATATATATTAATATATTAAAACTCTTATTCCTTTCTCTTTAAATTTATGATATAATGTGATAGAATTGTTAAGAAATGAAAATAATTGTAGATCTTAAAATATTTAAAAATTTAAGTTTTTATAAGCAAAACTTTATTTTAAATAATTAAATATTAGGCTGGGGAGAAAGTAATTCGAGTTATGAATAAATGGTGGTACAGCGTGCAATAATAATTTTTGTTAATAACTTTTGTTTTGTTTTCTTGAGGTTGTCTATCCTACATTAAAATTACTGCAAGACAAGCCTTTTTGTCTGTCATAAATGTTTATTTTGATTTAACAAGATGCTAAATAAAATCCATATTCGTCATTGCCTGCTTATATTTTTCAATTTAAAAAAAATGCTGCCAAAGTTAAACGACTGATTTGTAAGCCATATGAAAAGAATGCTGTCTGTATGAAGGACGGTTTAAACACTTCAAAAGTGAAAATTTTCGAAGACAAACTGCGTCTTGAGTAGTCAATGGAAGTGGCAATAGGAGATTTAGAGGCGTTAAAAGAAGATTCGGTACAATCGACATCAAACAGTTATTGCTAATTTCTACAACCAATTTAAATGCGACATTGCTCGAAATAGTCATTATATGCCTCAAACCTCACCGATTTAAAGCTATTCTTCTATAAAAACAATGCTCCATCTCATACCGCTGCAATTATCGTGAATATCTTATTCGACTTCGAAGTCCTCTTGCCTATTCTTCAGATAGGGCACTTTTAAATTATTACCTATTTCGATGTAGTACGATTTGAAAAAACAACGCTTTAGAAGTATAGCCAAAATCAAGAAATTAAAGAATTTATTTCAATAAAGAAAATAGTCTTTTATCATTACGGAATACAACTTCTGCCTGAAAGATGGCAGAAAATAATAGAATCATACGACAATTACAGTTGTGCTCATAAGTATTTTGACAAACAGTTTTCGGTACGCGCACAACTAAAAGTCAATATGATAAACAAATTTGTCAGTCACGTACGACGTCTGGTAAGAGATCATGTACAAGTCACAAACAAATCCGAATTATCAACAGTTATTACTTTTTATTTTTCGTTTTCTTTATTCGCTTGGATCGTAAGTATTTTGACAAATATTTTTGAGAGCATTAAATCTAAAAAAAGATTTTATTAATGTTTTGAAATTGATTTAAATGTTAGAAATATTATGCTGAAGAGGAAAGAATATTCTGTGGAAATGAGAGAGCCTGTCATTCGTGCTTTGAATGAAGAACGTACACAATCAAGTGTGTCTCCTGATTTTGGCATATCACGACAACTTGTAAGTGTTTGGAATCGTCGCTATAAAGACAGACGTGAAGTATACAACAAGAATGGGTCGTGATGTCCATGAAAAACAGCTATTCGGGAAGAAAAAAAATTAATTAAAAGACAGTCTATAGCAGATTCTCAAAAATCTGCCACAGCTATTGCTAAAGATTTACATGAAAATTATGGAATAAATGTACATGTTTCTACCATAAAACGACTTCTCAAAGAATAAGATTTAATAGCTCGATGGCCCAGTAAAAAACCTCTAATTTCTAAAAAGAACAGAAAAGCCCGAATAACGTTTGCTAAAGCTCATCAAAATTGAACATCAATTGAGTGGTCTAAGGTACTATGGAGTGATGAAAGTAAATTTAATTTATTTTATTCCGTCGGAATTCAACTTCTGCCTGAAAGATGGCAGAAAATAGTAGAATCTTACGGCAATTATTTTAATTGAACAAAATGTTGCGATCATTTCTTTTTAATATATATTTTTCAGAAAAAAATCTAAATTACTTTCTCCCCATCCTAATATAATTAACAAGTGATATTTAGTTTTTAATTTTTATTACACGATATTTATAACTTGATAATTAGTTTTTAATTTCTATTATTTAAAAATATTACGTATAAAAACTAAAATTAAGTATCACGTATTCATTGCATTTATCAAAGAACAATCTTGACGAACATTGAAGAATTTTTTAAACATCATAGAAAGTATATTATTCATTATATATTTAGCTTATTATAAGTTGAAATAAAATTATTATATGAATTAGTTTTAGATTTTCAATTTATAATTACAATATTACATTTTTATCAGAGGTATTGATTTTGAACATATAGTTTTTACAATTATATGTTATATCTATAATAATGTTTTCTTCCGATTTTATAAAATTTTTTGCACGCTATATAATTTGCAACAGAATTCAAGATAGAATTCTATTTATTGTATATATGTAAAACATAAAATACATATTAATGTAAGTAATATATATTTAATATGATTATTCTTTTTATTTAATAAAATTAGAAATTTATCTTTAATTTTGTCATGACTATAGTTATGATTATAATCATAATGAGATAATTTATTAAAATGAGATAATTTATTAAAATGACTTTTTTTAATAATTTAATAAAATGACTTTTAATTTGTTAAACATTTAAATATAATTAATTAGTTGATTCATTCACATTTACATTATGTGAAATGATAATTGAAGATTTATCAATAACTTTTACAATTTCGATGTTGATCCGATCAGAATTTCAATGTTTTTTCAAGATTTGGTTTTCGATGTTAACTAGTTCGATATTAATTATATGTTTCTGATTACCTAAGAATCAAAGAATCGCAATTATGTAAGGCACTGTGATGGCGACTTGTTAGACCATATTTATTTAAAAATTTTAATTTACCTAATATCATAACACCAATGTAAAGTGTGAAATGAAAATATATGATCAAATTCAGAAATATATTTTTCAGGCAAATTTTTAGTTTGGATATCTAACACTTCGAATTTGAGCTGTTTCTCATTAGAATATGTTTTTTTTGCAAATTTGATCATATTTTCCGAAATATCGGTACCTATAGAAAATATGCAATTATTGAATTAAATAATAACTTATGTAATAAATGTACTTATGTAATAAATGTATATGTATTGTTATAAACATTATTTTATGCGTATGTTTTCTTACCTATTATTACTGCATTTGAATTTAAGGCTGGTAAAAGGATATTTTTTGTTATATCTCCAGGTCCACAACCAATATCCATACATTTACCAGACATTTGTGCTATATCTTCCTCAAATTCGTCGATTAAATTCAATACATGCTGTTTTTGCACATCGTTACAAGATGCATATTCTTTCGCATTCATTATTTTTACAATTTGAATAAATCTTTATTTTTTGTGTAGTTCGAGACTATTTCAAAAGACAATCTTATATACTCTGTTATATGATAGGGATACAGAAGCATGTAAAAGTTGCCCCCGCACGTATCAAGTCGATATTGGTATCATGGATTGGCATCTATGTGTCTAAAAAATCCTGTAAATATCAACCTTAAAATTGCATTTTTATAGGAATTATGGAGAGGGAAAGCAAAATCAAAAAAGTTATTTTTCTCGAAAACCGCTGAACCAATTTTGATGAAAAAAATATATGTTATAAATATTAACAAGACTATTTTGAGAATAAATTAAAAAAAAATTCTGACAAAAATACAAGTAAAAACAATTTTTGAATATTTCAAAATTTCTTTGGTTTTCAAGGTTACGTTTTAGAGATACATCTTCAATTTTTTTTTTAAAGAAAACCTTAAAATGTCTGCTTTAACATCTATTTTTTCCAAATTTTTCATAGAGGTCTTTCATGGTGAAAAATGATGAAAATCATGCATGCATCACGCTTTCACAGCACATTCTCGCTGCAGCCACGTATATCTATCTCGACTGACCGGTTGACATTATACGAGTATTAAACCAATTTTAGTCTGTTATCATATGTCATCTTTGGCACCTCCCGAATCCGCTATTCATTTATTTTCAACTTTCTAAAGCTTATGACAGATAGCACAGGCCTGCGAGGTATCTGTTTTTAAGATGCAATAGTGATTTCCGATGTAATTTTGTGAGCTGAATTCGAATCTGGCCGCCGAATTTGCGTAGCACGTCACGTTTTTGAGTAATTTGTAATTGAATTGCTCAAAAATCGCTATTTTGACCAATTTCATGAATTTATTGCGAGGAAACCAAATTTTTTGAAATATTTCTGCTAATGGCATCGTATAATACTCACTTTCGCCTTTCAAATCCACTTTCAATTACCGCTGCACGATTTTTTTTCGCTGAGATATATAAGTATGAAGTACGTCGTAAGAAAATTTACGTTAAAGAAAATTTATATAGACATCAATATGGTAGATCCATGATCTTGAAATTTGAAAAGACCGACATATGTCAGGTTCGGTTGGCCAAAAAAATATTGTAAAGAATTGTCTAATACAGTTGTTACACATTTTGATAAATTTTTCTAAATTTTATGCCTTTTTATTATGATTCTATCTTATTATGATTTCTTCGCCATATTGGATGCGCCATTTTTAATTTCTAAAGGTGACAGAAAGTATTTAAAAATGTATATTTTACCCTAAATTTGATTCGTAGTGAGATAGAGAGGTGGCACGGTTGATTTAGAATGACTTATTAAATCCCTCTGCATGACCAGTCTTATAACTTGTATATCTGTGTTGTGGTATGGCGGGCAAATTGTTGTATTTGTTCGTTAGTTTACGAATAATGTTTAACGTCGTTGTGTCTTGATATTATATCTTGGTTCCATGAACAGTTCGAAGTAGTGGAAGATTCGAGCACGTCGTTGTGCTCCGTGCACGTCGGTCACACCTATGCTTCTCCGACCGATCCGTTTCTCGGTTGGCCTTTTAAGACTCCTTTTTACTGTGATGCCGTATGCACGATCGTGTCACGTCGTACTGCGCGTTGTCGTGCGAGCAATCGTTCTTGGTTGCGCAGATCGTATTCTCATTTATGATTCTATTGTTATGATTTATGATTCTATTGTTATGATTTATGATTCTATTGTTCCGAGTTGCATTCTGATCCGGGTGATGCAGTCGATGCTGTCATGCGTGATATCACGCTCACCGGATGAAGGGAAGATAAAGAGTGTGCAAAGATTGACTCGGAGCGGCGCAATATATCCAACAATCTGAGCGAAAAATATCAATAATTATGAGAAAATATGAAAACTACAATAACAAATAATTAATTTTAATTATTATAAAATTTGTTTCTTTGAAATTAATTGTGAACTAGTAAAAAGCAAATTATAATAAAAAAATTACAAAAACAAGACAGGTAAGCACGGCATTGATGTACGATGCAAATCTTGGAAAAGTAAATTAAATCATCAAAGTCATAATAGTAATGTTCAATAGAAAATTATAATACAAATCGTATATAAATTACACAAAAATAAGCGCAAACGTTTCGATCTCATCCAAATCCTTCTCGATGCTGTTTTTAGAAATAATAATATTAAAAGAAATAGAGTCGCTCGCAGAAATGATAATATAAAAAGAAATGGAGTCGCAACATAAGGTCAATATCAAATTCGTCAAAAAATTGTCCATGTACATAATATTAAAGTCGATTTGAAATTGAAAACGGAATTTATAATAATAAAAAGTATAAAACTAAAATCGAAAGGAATTAGGTTCGTTATGTATCAAACAACAAGATAAGAAAACTGACGTATCCGAGCCATAACGGATGGTAATGCCTAAAAATACTTTAATTGTACGCGAAAATGTAAACGAGAACAAGGCATATGCATATATTTTACTTGGTGCATTTACCAAGATATATAGATTTTCTCGTCTACGTCTCTTCAGGGGGGTAAAGAGGGTTTTTATAGAATTTCTCAAAAATGAGAATCTATCTCAGATACGCCAGTTTTCTTATCTTGTTGTTTGATATATAACGAGTCTAATTCCTTTCGATTTTAGTTTAATTCACGCGTGGCTGAAAAGATAGCGTTTCATTTTCCATAGTTATAAACAAATAGGCGAGAATGATATCGGTGTGGGGCTGAATAGCTTAATGGTAAGAGCAGTCGCCCGGCAAGCGAAAGACTCGGGTTCGATTTCCGATTTAGCGACTTCGCCCCGATATTTTTCTCGTCTACGTCTCTTCAGGGGAGTAAAGAGGTTTTTATAGTATTTCTCAAAAATGAGAATCTATATATCTTGGTAAATGCACCAAGTAAAATATATGCATATGCCTTGTTCTCGTTTACAATTAAAGTATTTTTAGGCATTACCATCCGCTATGGCTCGGATACGCCAGTTTTCTTATCTTGTTGTTTGATGAAAAATATAAGACTCAAAGTATAAAAATAAAAAAAATTCAATGATAATAGCAATACGAGTCAAGTGTCGAGCCTATGACACAATAATTTACTAAACAAATAAATAAGCATGGAATATATTACAAAGAAAGGATGGCGAACGTTTCGACGGAATTTATAATCTCACGAGAGACAAAATGCTCAAATAAATCATAGAAATATACAAATATGTAAGAGACTGTGGCAATGCCTACGAGTCCGCATGTTACTCACCTATGATACACAGCAACGATTGCAGCTGTGTGGAAAAAAGAGTTGCGCAAAAAAAAAGAATATGCATGGATAAGGCCGGCAGAGATACCGCAAAAACATACCTCTACCTTCTGACCAAGCCGAAACAATCTTTATTTTGCAAATTGATCCAAATGCAGACAAGCCGGGATCTGTAAAATAAAGCAGGCAAAGCAACACGCATTCCCGCACACAAACAACATCAAGCAAAAAACATATATATAAAAATCGCAGTCATAAAAAGGCTTAAAAATTAATAGTATATGAAAATTGATAGACCGCAATACGTACGAGCAATAAATTATGGAGAAAGATGAAATAACAGCAAGCAATGAAATAATTTAAAAAAAGATCGAGAGCAGTAGGCAAACGATATATAGCAGGTGAAGCGACACGAAATACTGAGCCAGGCAAAGATGAGACATTAGACATGCCCATAGCACGGAAGAGAAAGGGGAGAAAGAAATTCAGGAATAGGGCGAACCTGTGGATCTACACTGAAAAAAAAATCTGATTGTATCAATTAGAATTCTGCCAGATTTCACCAGTATGTCGGTTGGAAAATGAACGAACCAGAATCTTGTAGGAATTACCAGATGAATCTGATTAATTTCTTCCTGTTAAATTTACCAAATTTTCTGGTTAATAATACTAAACTCACGAGCACCAAATCGTATAAATTTTTTCCATCTAATCTCAAAAGTCTGTTTAATATTCTGAATTCCAACAAGATTATTGGATAAATTTAATCCAGATTATTGAATAAATTATTTTAAATTCAGTTTGTTAAAAATTAAACTGATAAACAATGATGCAAGAAGAGGATGCAGTTCAAACACACACAATCAGACAGCTAGCATCCTCTTTCTGGCACAACTGCTCGTAAGAAAAAAAAATATACTTTGGATTTAATGTTAATACTAGTTCTTTACATACATTGTATGGCAAATATTGAATACGAGTTACGTTAAGAGTGGCTCGCCGCCTAGTGGCAAGCAAAGAAATTAATGTAAGAAAAAATTTTATAGATCCAACCAGAAAACACTCGTTACTCCAACCAAATCCTTATAATAAAATCTATTAAACGTTGTAGTTATAAAAAATCGAATCTTATCATGATAACTAAAAATTCTTGTTTGATTTAACCAAAATGCCTTCGATTATATACGTCTTGTTAGTAAAATCAAACGATTTTTCTCAGTGTATCAATAATTATTTTGAAGGAAAAGATTTGATGATGGGAAGATAAACTTTATCAAATTTAATAATGTCATTCTGAAGGTTCAAACCATTATTTTGTCGTGTGATATGAATCATTTCCGAAATGATTCTTCTTAGAAATGAAGGATCTTCATCTAAAATGTTTACATCATTCCATTTAAATTCGTGTCCTTCCAGTCTATGCTAAGAAACAACCAATAGAGATTCGAAGGGCCAATTAATGTTCGATTTATGTTCAATGAGTCTAGTGGCGAGCTGTCTGCTGGTCTGCCCCACATAAGATGCTGTTCATTCCTTACAACATATTTTACAAACCACATTGGAATGATTAGCAGTAAAGGATCCTTATTGGTCTTATAATCGATTATAATAAATCGATTTAATTTATTTAGTACAACAAAAGCCAAAGATTGCATTGAGAAGGATCTGAATGAGATCGAAACGTTTGTGGCTATTTCTGTGTAATTTATATACGATTTGTATTATAATTTTCTATTGAACATTACTATTATGACTTTAATGATTTAATTTAGTTTTTCCAAGATTTGCGTAGTACATCAATGTCGTGGTTATCTGCCTTGTTTTTGTAATTTTTCCTAAATACTTATCTTGCAAACCACTTTAATTTAATTATTTTTTTTCTTCAAATTATAATATTTATAACAAATAAAATCATATTATTAAAGCATAAAGAATAAATAAGTTATTAAAATATTATTAAAAGTTAAATATATATTATAAATATATTTATTATTACGAATGATTAAGTAATATCCAGTTTTTAGTTTTTATATAACATGTAATATTTATAAATAATCAAAACATATACGAAAAAAGCTATAAGGACCAAAAAAAAACGCAATAATTAGAGCAAATGATCATAAATATATAATTAAGATAATGTCTATTAAAGCATATTTCGGTTTATTTCAGACTCTCTAATAGAATAATACACTAAAACATGATAACAGTTAAATAGAATGATATACCATCTCTAACAAAAATAAACATAAAGTTTAAAACGATTATTTATACATGTTGTTAAGAAATAAAATAAGATCGAGAAACTTAAATAGAGATAAGTTTTCGTCGTGATAAGTCGAAAGGTTAAATACAATGACAATAAATATGCGCATTTCTTACAAACGAACATTAAGAAATATTCCAAAGTCGCACATAAACCCACTGTACGAAACATTCATTACAATGCAATGGGTAATCTTTATACGGATAATCGCTCACCTTCTATGACTGACAAAAATTATTCTTTAATTCTAAAAACTTTTTCTTCGGTTGGAAAAATTCTTTGATCAAATGACATATGATGATTGGCACACAATTGGTATATGGAGAGTGAAGCGAGAGGATGCTGCGCAATTTTCTCTTGTACGAGCTGTTTGGAGCTTGATCAAAGAATTTTTTGAACTGAAGAAAAAGTTTTTAGAACTGCAGAATAATTTTTGTTAGTTATAGGAGATGAGCATTTTGCAAATATTACAATGCATTATAATGAATGAGTCATTAGTCTCAAGTAAATTGACCAATTACAATCGATTATTTTTGAAATATCGATTGTACATACTATACGACTGATTGTCTATACATAATGTTGTTAAAAAATAAAATAAGATTGAAAATTAGATAAAGATTTTAGACTAGGCATTAGAAATGGTAGGGCATTCTATTTAACTGTTATCATGTTTTAACATATACGTAAAAGGATCTGAAATAAACCGAAACGTATATGCTTTAATAGACATTGTCTTAATTATATAATAGTAATTATATATTTACGAACATTTGTTCTAATTATTGCGTTTTTGTTTGGTCCTTATAACTTTTTTCGTATATCTTTTGATTATTTATAAATATTACATATTATATAAAAACTAAAAACTGGATATTACTTAATCATTATATTTATTAATAAAGAAAATATATTGACAACATTGTAGGACTTTTTATTTTGATAAAAGATATCTTATGCATTGCATATCTAACTCATTATAAATTGAAACAAAATTACAGATTTTATTAGTTTCAATTTTTCAATTTACAATTATAATATTGCATTTATTTATGCAATGTTATACAATTTTTCGTGCATAAACTATTAAGATTTTGTATAGATCTATAAAATTTGTTTGTTCCTGATTATTCTGTATTGTTTTACAAGCAAACTTTCTTTTCATAAATTCACGTATAAATTCATTCCTGAATTCTTCTTTCTGATCGTGTGGCAATTTGTCCAAAAATGGGTAGATGGCTAATATCGAAGCTGTCGAAGTAATCGAGATTAGATTAAATTACTAGAATTAAATTAAATTAAGATTTAAATAAATAAGAAAAGATTGAGCAAACTTATGTGATAATAATTACATAAAGCATAAAATCTAATTTTTATATTTTTTTAAAACACAACTTACATAAAAAATTTTGCATATTTTGGGAGGAATATGTCACTTCTCGAAGACTGCAATGGCAAACATCAAATCCAATACTTTTAAGTAATTTCCTCAGTTCTTTATGAGGAGTGATTGAATCATTAAATGGCGAAATGTAGTTTCTGACATCCTATGTAAGAATAATAATTAAGTGTGTATAATTGCAAAATTGATGAAACATGAAAATAATAAGATTTACTTGTATGTATGATGCAAAACGAATATCTTGAGCCAAAATTTTCATAATTTCAAATATATCATGAGATGCTACTATAAGTATAAGAATATTTCCACCAGATCGAATCATCTGGAAAATATTCTCAAACGCTTGTCTGTTAAAAAAGAATAGATAAATATATATAATTTTCGAAGCTTTTATGTTATTGCGCGATTTTTAGTTTCATTTTTAATAAGATTCGTAAAATAAGATATAACTATTTTAATAAGATATATTAAATTAATATATTAAAACTATATATATTAATATATTAAAACTCTTATTCCTTTCTCTTTAAATTTATGATATAATGTGATAGAATTGTTAAGAAATATTATGAAAATAATTGTAGGTCTTAAAATATTGAAAAATTTAAGTTTTTATAAGCAAAACTTTATTTTAAATAATTAAATATTAGGCTGGGGAGAAAGTAATTCGAGTTATGAATAAATGGTGGTACAGCGTGCAATAATAATTTTTGTTAATAACTTTTGTTTTGTTTTCTTGAGGTTGTCTATCCTACATTAAAATTACTGCAAGACAAGCCTTTTTGTCTGTCATAAATGTTTATTTTGATTTAACAAGATGCTAAATAAAATCCATATTCGTCATTGCCTGCTTATATTTTTCAATTTAAAAAAAATGCTGCCAAAGTTAAACGACTGATTTGTAAGCCATATGAAAAGAATGCTATCTGTATGAAGGACGGTTTAAACACTTCAAAAGTGAAAATTTTCGAAGACAAACTGCGTCTTGAGTAGTCAATGGAAGTGGCAATAGGAGATTTAGAGGCGTTAAAAGAAGATTCGGTACAATCGACATCAAACAGTTATTGCTAATTTCTACAACCAATTTAAATGCGACATTGCTCGAAATAGTCATTATATGCCTCAAACCTCACCGATTTAAAGCTATCCTTCTATAAAAACAATGCTCCATCTCATACCGCTGCAATTATCGTGAATATCTTATTCGACTTCGAAGTCCTCTTGCCTATTCTTCAGATAGGGCACTTTTAAATTATTACCTATTTCGATGTAGTACGATTTGAAAAAACAACGCTTTAGAAGTATAGCCAAAATCAAGAAATTAAAGAATTTATTTCAATAAAGAAAATAGTCTTTTATCATTACGGAATACAACTTCTGCCTGAAAGATGGCAGAAAATAATAGAATCATACGACAATTACAGTTGTGCTCATAAGTATTTTGACAAACAGTTTTCGGTACGCGCACAACTAAAAGTCAATATGATAAACAAATTTGTCAGTCACGTACGACGTCTGGTAAGAGATCATGTACAAGTCACAAACAAATCCGAATTATCAACAGTTATTACTTTTTATTTTTCGTTTTCTTTATTCGCTTGGATCGTAAGTATTTTGACAAATATTTTTGAGAGCATTAAATCTAAAAAAAGATTTTATTAATGTTTTGAAATTGATTTAAATGTTAGAAATATTATGCTGAAGAGGAAAGAATATTCTGTGGAAATGAGGGAGCCTGTCATTCGTGCTTTGAATGAAGAACGTACACAATCAAGTGTGTCTCCTGATTTTGGCATATCACGACAACTTGTAAGTGTTTGGAATCGTCGCTATAAAGACAGACGTGAAGTATACAACAAGAATAGGTCGTGATGTCCATGAAAAACAGCTATTCGGGAAGAAAAAAAATTAATTAAAAGACAGTCTATAGCAGATTCTCAAAAATCTGCCACAGCTATTGCTAAAGATTTACATGAAAATTATGGAATAAATGTACATGTTTCTACCATAAAACGACTTCTCAAAGAATAAGATTTAATAGCTCGATGGCCCAGTAAAAAACCTCTAATTTCTAAAAAGAACAGAAAAGCCCGAATAACGTTTGCTAAAGCTCATCAAAATTGAACATCAATTGAGTGGTCTAAGGTACTATGGAGTGATGAAAGTAAATTTAATTTATTTTATTCCGTCGGAATTCAACTTCTGCCTGAAAGATGGCAGAAAATAGTAGAATCTTACGGCAATTATTTTAATTGAACAAAATGTTGCGATCATTTCTTTTTAATATATATTTTTCAGAAAAAAATCTAAATTATTTTCTCCACAGCCTAATATAATTAACAAGTGATATTTAGTTTTTAATTTTTATTACGCGATATTTATAACTCTGATAGTTAGTTTTTAATTTCTATTATTTAAAAATATTACGTATTAAAAACTAAAATTAAGTATCACGTAATCATTGCATTTATCAAAGACAATCTTGATGAACATCGAAAAATTTTTTAAACATCATCAAAAGTATTTTGTTCATTATATATTTAGCTTATTATAAATTGAAATAAAATTATTATATGAATTACAGTTTTAGATTTTCAATTTATAATTACAATATTACATTTTTATCAGAGGTATTGATTTTGAACATATAGTTTTTACAATTATATGTTATATCTATAATAATGTTTTCTTCCGATTTTATAAAATTTTTTGCACGCTATATAATTTGCAACAGAATTCAAGATAGAATTCTATTTATTGTATATATGTAAAACATAAAATACATATTAATGTAAGTAATATATATTTAATATGATTATTCTTTTTATTTAATAAAATTAGAAATTTATCTTTAATTTTGTCATGACTATAGTTATGATTATAATCATAATGAGATAATTTATTAAAATGAGATAATTTATTAAAATGACTTTTTTTAATAATTTAATAAAATGACTTTTAATTTGTTAAACATTTAAATATAATTAATTAGTTGATTCAACATTTACATTATGTGAAATGATAATTGGAGATTTATCAACAACTTTTAATGTTGATTCGATCAAAAATTTCAATTTTATTTCAAGATTTGGTTTTCGATGTTAACTAGTTCGATATTAATTATATGTTTCTGATTGCCTAAGAATCAAAGAATCGCAATTATATAAAACACCGTGATCGCGGTTTAGTTCATATTTATTTAAAAATTTTAACTTACCTAATATCATAACACCAGTTTAAAGTTTGAAATGAAAATATATGATCAAATTTAGAAATATATTTTTCAGGCAAATTTTTAGTTTGGATATCTAACACTTCGAATTTGAGCTGCTTCTCATTAGGATATGTTTTCTTTGCAAATTCGATCATATTTTCCGAAATATCGGTACCTACAAAATATGCAATTATTGAATTAAATAATAACTTATGTAATAAATGTATGTGTATTGTTATAAACATTATTTTATGCGTATGTTTTCTTACCTGTTATTTCTGCATTTGGATTTAAAGCTGGTAAAAGGATATTTTTTGTTATATCTCCGGGTCCACAACCAATATCCATACATTTACCAGACATTTGTGCTATATCTTCCTCAAATTCGTCGATTATATTTAATACCCTCAGTTTTTGCAAATCGTCACAAGAAGCATATTCTTTCGCATTCATAATTTTCACGAATTTGAGTGCGTCTCTATTTTATGACTTGTGTAGAGTGTCCAAGCTATTTCAAAAGACTGTCTTATATACTCTGAGGCATGATAGGGATACACAATAAGAGAATGTTGAATGCATTAAAAAAAGTTTGAACGTACCTCTACTTTATGCCTTGTGTAGTTCGAGACTATTTGAAGACACAGTCTTATATTATACTCTGCTATATGGTAGGGATACAGATTACGAAAATGTGGAGTGCCTTCCTCTTTCCAGGAAATTTATCACTGACGAAAGAAATTGAATGAGTTTGCATTTTTAATTTATATTTTATTTTATTTGTTTACTATTAGTAATAATCAGCTAATAGTAATATAATAATATTATTAGACTATTTAAAGCAATATCTTCACTGTTTTATAGGCACAGTTATAACAAAATTTAATTTACAATATACAAAATATTTATATAATCATATTTTTAAAATATCAATAATTATGAGAAAATATGAAAACTATAATAACGAGTAATTAATTTTAATTATTATAAAATTCGTTTTTTTGAAATTAATTGTGAACTAGTAAAAAGCAAATTATAATATTTATGACAAATAAAATCATATTATTAAAGTATAAAGAATATATAAGTTATTAATATATTATTAAAAGTTAAATATATAAATATATTTATTATTACAAAATTTAAACAAGATTTATTTGAAATTAAATGTAACAGTTAATAAGTGTAATAGTTATTTTGTTCGTAAAGTAAATGCAGTACAAGAATATTGGTAAAAAAGCTTTGTGAAATGCTGCAAAACTATTATGTATCATGTACATTTTTATTAATAAGAATATAAATTGATTTCTGCAAATGATAAGTAAATATTTCTTTGGTTCAATCATTTATAGATAACGTTATTTCAAGATGTTTAAATTTCTTTGAATACTTGTTAACAATTTACTTATCGCTGTTATCATTTTTCAAATGAAAGCAAACTTGTACTATTTATTTTTTATTTATTTACTTTTTATTTATTTTATGTATATATTTTTTTAACTTGTATATATATAATTTTAAAAATTTTTCAAAAGTTGAAAATATCACCATTTGATAGAGCGTATCCGATTTATTTAAAAATTGTTATATATACAAAATTTTTAAAATTGTTATATATACAAAAATCGAGTCGAAAAGTCCTGAACTATTTTTTTCTATAATGCTTAATAAAGCGATACTTATTGAGTAAAGTTGCGCCAATAAGCACCGACCTTTAGATGGGTGCACGTTAGTGAACCACGCGCCTGATAGTGTGCGTGAACGCTCCGCCGCTACGACGCTGTGTTATCCCGCTATCGTGCAATATTCTTATGCATTATAATAATGTGAAAAGCTTTATTTTGCATTAAAAATCATATTTCTTCCGTCAAAAGCGTTTTCTTAAAAAAAATTTCAACAAGGAGGCTAAAGGTTGATGCTTATTGGCGCAACTTTACTCAATAATTACCGCTTTATTAAGCATTATAGAAAAAAATGGTTCAGGACTTTCCAACTCGATTTTAATCAAGAATAACGCTATTTGCTCCGTGAGCGCTTTTTTAGTTATATATATATATATATATATATATATATATATGTCATATCAGTTTAGTTATACACACACACACGCGCGCGCGCGCGCGTGTGTATATATATATAGCACATTATGAATTAAAATAATATTATTATATAAATTACAGTTTCAGTTTCTCAATTTATGATTATAATATTGTATTTTTATCTGAGACAATATTGACTTTGAACATATTTTTTACAATTATATGTTATATCTAAAATAATCTTTTTTTCCGATTTTATAAAATTTTTAAAAAATTTTTTGCACTATGTATAATTTGCGATAGAATTCAAGATAGAATTCTGTTCTGTTATATATGTATAAAGTTTGGATATCTAATATTTCGAATTTGAACTGTTTCCCATAGAATATGTTTTCTTTGCAAATTTGATCATATTTTTTGAAATATTTTGAAATACTTATAAAATATGCAATTATTGACTTAAATAATAACATAAGGGAATAAAATAATTGCTTATAGAAACTAAGATCAATCCATTGAATAACAACCAAAAATTATGAAAAAGAAGGCTATAAGGATCAAACAAAAATGCAATAATTAGAGCAAATGATCGTAAATATATAATTAGGACAATGTCTATTAAAGCATATTTCGGTTTATTTCAGACTCTCTAATTGAATAATACACTAAAACATGATAACAGTTAAATAGAATGATATACCATCTCTAACAAAAATAAATATAAAGCTTAAAACGATTGTTTGTACACGATGTTAAGAAATAAAATAAGATCGAGAAAGTTAAATAGAGATAAGTTTCGTCGTGATAAGTCAAAATGACAATAAGTACAATGACAATAAGTATGCGCATTTTTTACAAACGAACATTGAAAAATATTCAATAGCCGCACATAAACGCACTGTACGAAACATTTATTACAGTGCAATGGGTAAACTTTATACGGATAATCGCTCATCTTCTATGACTGACAAATTATTCTTTAATTTTAAAAACTTTTTCTTTGATTCGAAAAATTCTTTGATCTAGCGACACATGATGATTGGCACACAATTGGCACATGGACAGTGAAGCGAGAGGATGCCGCGCAATTTTCTTTTGTACGATGTTTGGAGCTTGATCAAAGAATTTTTCGAACTAAAGAAAAAGTTTTTAGAACTGAAGAATAATTTTCGTTTTGTCATAGGAGATGAGCATTTTGCAAAGATTACAATGCATTATAATAAATGTTCATACATTGCGACTGTTGAAAATTTCTCAATATTCGTTTGTAAAAAATGCGCAGACTTATTGCTCATTATATTTGACTCTTCCATTTATCATTTATCTCTATTTAATTTTTTCAAACTTATTTTATTTTTTAACAACAATATGTACAGACAATTGCTTTGAGTACAGACAATTGTTTTATATTTGTTTTTGTTACATCCAGTCTACAATGAGTCATTAGTCGTTAGTCTCAAGTAAATTGACCAATTACTATCGATTATTTTTGAAATAATTGATTGTACATACTATACTACTGATTGTCTATACATACTGTTGTTAAAAAATAAAATAAGATTGAAAAGATTAAATAGAGATTTTAGACTAGGCATTAGAAATGGTAGGGCATTCTATTTAACTGTTATCATGTTTTAACATATACGTAGAAGAATCTGAAATAAACCGAAACGTATATGCTTTAATAGACATTGTCTTAATTATATAATAGTAATTATATATTTACGAACATTTGCTCTAATTATAGCGTTTTTGTTTTAGTTCTTATAGCTTTTTTTTGTATAGCTTTTGATTATTTATAAAGATTACATGTTATATAAAAACTAGATATTACTTAATCATTATTTTTATTAATAGAGAAAATATATTGACAATATTGAAGGATATTTTATCATGATAAAAGATATCTTATACATTGCATATCTAACTCATTATAAATTGAAACAAGATTACAGGTTTTATTAGTTTCAATTTTTCAATTTATAATTATAATATTGCATTTATTTATGCAATTTTTCGTGCATAAACTATTAAGATTGTATATAGATCTATAAAATTTGTTTGTTCCTGATTATTCTGTATTGTTTTACAAGCAAACTTTCTTTTCATAAATTCACGTATAAATTCATTCCTGAATTCTTCTTTCTGATCGTGTGGCAGTTTGTCCAAAAATGGGTAGATGGCTAATATCGAAGCTGTCGAAATAATCGAAATGAAATTAAATTATTAGAATTAAATAAGATTTAAATAAACAAAAAAGGATTATTGCAGTAATGTTATAACAACCATAACACATAAGCATAAAACATAAAATTTATATAAAACATAAAATTTAATTTTTATATTTTTTTAAAACAACTTACATAAAAAATTTTGCATATTTTTAGAGGAATATGTCTTTTCTCGAAGACTGCAATGGCAAACATCAAATCCGATACTTTTAAGTACTTTCCTCAGTTCTGTACAAGGAGAGACTGAATCATTAAATGGCGAAATGTAGTTTCTGACATCCTATGTAAACATAACAGTAATAATTAATCTATAGCTACAAATAGCTGCAAATTTATAAAATTGATGAAACGTCAAAATATAAGATTTACTTGTATGTATGATGCAAAACGAATATCTTCAGCAAAAATTTTCATAATTTCATATACATCATGATGTGCTATCATCAATATAAGGATATTTCCACCAGGTCGAATCATACGGTAAATATTCTCAAATGTATGTCTGTTTAATCAGAAAGGAATATATAAATATTATTTATTTTTGAAACTTTTATGTTTATTGCGCAATTTTTAGTTTCAATTTTTAATGAAATTCTTAAAATAAAATATAAGAGTTTTTTAATAGAATATTAAATTAACATATTATACTCTTACTTTTTTCTGTTTAAATTTATAATGGATAGAATTCATAAGAAATATTGTACAAATAATTGAATATTAAAATATTTAAAAATCTATATTACAAACTAAACTTTATTTTAAATAATAATAAATATAATGAACAAGTAATATTTAATTTTCAAATTTTAATACATTTTAATACATAATATTTATAAATATGATATTTAGTTTTTAATTTCTATTATTTATAAATATTACATATTAAAAATTAATTATTAAAAAGAAACTAATCATGTAATTCATTACATTTATTATCAGAGATAATATTGATGAATATATTGAAGAATTTTTTAACCATAAATTTTAATCATAAAAATCAAACTCTATGTGTTCTTTCCGATGGAGTTTCATCACTATACACTTCGGATAATAAGCGATGCGTTTCAGCTACGGTTTTCTTGAAAGGTCGAAGTAATGAAGAAGTACATGGCGAAAAAACAGCTTATCGCAGTTCAATCGATTGGAAAATCTCTTTGGCGTCGAGAAATCTAACCTGTGAAGACTGAATTACTTTCGGGAATATCTAAACTACAAAAGACATGCGACTTCATCGTCGAAACTCGTCAGCGTTGGAGCCGGCAGCCTCTAATAGCGACCGGCAGGAATTAAGTTAACTACCTAATATAATTTGGAGTAAAATTCAAGATAGAATTCTGTTATTATATATGTAACACACATAAAACATAAGTGACATGTATTTTGTATGATTATTCTTTAAATGCTGTATTTAATAAAATTAGAATTTTCTCTTAAATTTTGTCATGACTATAATCATGACTGTAGTCTACATGAGATCATCTAAAGTGACTTTTAATTTGCAAAGCATTTGGACATAATTAATTGGTTGATTCAACATTTAAATTATGTTAAAATGATAATCAAAGATCGTTAAAAATTTGTACCACTTTGATGTCCATATAATCAGAATTTTAATTTTACTTCAGCATTTACTTCAGCATTACTTCAGCTGTCGATGTTAATTCGACATTAACTATATTTTTGATTGCCTAAGTTAAATCGCGATTGTTTAAGATCGCGACTGATGGCTTGATTTATATTTACTTAAAAATTTTAACTTACCGAAAATTATAACAAAAATTTAAAGCATGAAATGAGAATATATGATCAAATTCAGAAATATATTTTTCAGGCAAATTTTTAGTTTGGATATCTAACACTTCAAATTTGAGCTGTTTCTCATTAGAATATGTTTTCTTTGCAAATTCGATCATATTTTCCGAAATATCGGTACCTACAGAAAATATACAATTATTGAATTAAATAATAACTAATGTAATAAATGTATATGTATTGTTATAAACATTATTTTATGCTTATGTTTTCTTACCCATTATTACTGCATTTGGATTTAAAGCTGGTAAGAGGATATTTTTTGTTATATCTCCAGGCCCACAACCAATATCCATACATTTCCCAGAAATTTGTGTTAAATCTTCTTCAAATTCTTCGATTAAATTCAATACATGCTGTTTTTGCATGTCGTCACAAGAAGCATATTCTTTTGCATTCATAATTTTCACAAATTTGAATACGTTTCTATTTTATGACTTGTGTAGAGTGTCCAAGCTATTTCAAAAGACTGTCTTATATACTCTGAGACATGGTAGGGATACACATTATGAAAATGTTGAATGCATTAAAAACTAAAAAATCAAAAAAAAATGTCATAAAAGCCAACGCGCGTAGTTGGAGCGCAGAAAAGCAACAATACTTCTTTCTTTTTTCAATATTAGTTTATTAATAACACATTATAATAACAAAAGGCGAACGTTTTGGATCATCTTTTGATACTTCTTCAGCGCGATGTTAATATATATTGTAATATATATTGTTAACATCGCGTTGAAGAAGGATCAAAAGATGATCCGAAACGTTCGCTTTTTGTTATTATAATGTGTTATTAATAAATTAATATTAATAACACATTATAATAACAAAAGAAAGAAACGTTGTTGCTTCTCTGCGCTCCAACTACCACGTGTTGGCTTTTATGCCATTTTCTTTTTGATTTTTTGATTATTTGAGCCAAGTCTCTAATTATTAAAATTAAAAACTAAATATATTTATCACTTTAAAATTTAAACAAAGTTTATTTGAAATTAAGTTGTCATGGTTAATGTAAAAAGTATTTATGTTTGGTACTATTTTGTTAGCAAATTAAATGTAATACAAGAACGTTGACAAATAAAGATTCAATATAAAATGATATAAAACTATTATATAATATGTACGTTTTTATTAATTAAAATATGAATTTGGTTTCTGCAAACAAAAAGTAAATAAATGTTTCTTTAGTTCAATCATTTATAGATAACTTTAAGGTTACTTTCAAATATTTCAATTTCTTTGTATGCTTTTTAATTTATCGCCGTTATTTTTCGAAGCAAGCATTTTTGAAAACAAAAAAATATCTATTGCATTATAATATATTGCATTTTATTATAAGTTTATTTTACTTTAAGTAATAATATAGAGATGTTTATATATGTAAAATAAAATATATTTTTATTTCGAATATATTTATAATTCTTGATGTGAGAACGTAATAATTTTACGAGAGGAAAAATTATTACATGTAATGACATATTGAAATCATACAAAACATGTGTACATGTATATGTGTTAAATGGAGAAATTTTACTATTATTTTACTATTATTTTAATATAATTCTTATATTTCAATGTCCATTAGTTATAATAGTTTAAAAAAAAAAGATAAGTCATACTTGAAATTTTCATAAATATATATCAAATGACATGCATTTTTGTAAATTTTTGCTGAAAAATATAAATTTTAAAAATAATGTAATAAAGCATTCTTATAATTAAAAAAATATATTTAAAAAATTAAGAGATTGAAAATATTGTGTAATTAATTGATTCAATTTTAATGCAAAATAGACATTTGATATAATCAATTTAATATTCAATTTTATATAATCAATTTAATCGAAATATTTTCTACACATGTTAATATCAGAAAGTCAGCGGACATTTTTAGAAAATTATGCATATTGTTTATTTATCTGACTTACATACTAACTTTATAACCTATTCTAATTATATTGCTCTCATAATTATACTGCACTCTAAAAGTATATAAAAAAATTTTTCATATTTATGTATAAGACTTTGATAATAATAATATAGATTCATTTATTATAGATAACATAAATTCATGTATAATCTGCGCAATTTCAAAGCTACCGATATTTACATAGAAAAAGAGAATAGTAACCCTGTAAATATTATTGTCTTTCATCCATTAGTCGAAATTCGACAAGTAAATGAAATGAGCAGTGTGATTGAAAATTATTGTATATAATAATTATTGTATATAATAATAATTTTTAATGAAAGGCGTTTGTGAAGTTGACCACTGCTTTATAAGAGCATTAAAATTGAATAAATTGCACCATATAGAGATGTATGTGAACCAAAAGTTAGCGGAAATTTTAATATTCAGAAATTTTTCGATATTTTGATATTTTTCTTTCCCCAAATGGCTTTAAAAAAATCTGCTATTAATTAGATTGTGCATCAATTCCAAAATATTTTACATATTACAGTCAAAATATTTTACATTTTATAGTTTTATATATATAAACGTCTTATAAATATGGAAACTATTTCAAGAGATATATTTTTACAGTATAATTTTAGCATGCAAATTATTATGTATAATTAATCATATGTACACATATATAATATGTAGTAAATATTCAATACGTTTAATAGTCTTTCGATCTAATGATTTGAAACTCATTAGATAGATATTATTATCGTGTTTCAATGTATCGTGTTTTTAGAGATAAGAAGAAAGGAATAAAAAATAACAATATTTTTAATAATTTTTTATATAATAGAGAACACATTTGATAGTAAATATTTATAATTCTGGCAACTTTATGTACAATGTATGTTTAACTAAATATTAAGTAAATAAAAACTATTCATACTTTTTGTTATTATACATCTTTTCTTATTTTACAATACATTTGTCTTGTAATATCGCAGTATATAATACATGAAAAAACTCTGAAATCTCTTAAAAGTGTATTTCTAAAGAGTTATTGTATCCCTTCAAGTACTAAGCTAGGGTAATATGAAAAAAAATGTCGATCCATCTACACAATAATGCACAAAACCGAGAGCGCAATATTCTTTTCGCGAGTAACCATGAAACTATATTTTTTACGGTCCTGAATTTAATAGTGAGGATATTTTGTTAGAGTACATCAAAGCTCTATACGATCTACTTTTGAGAGGTTCCAGTATAAATATATGCTATTATATACATTTCTTCTGGACTAGATATATGTCATATTATATATAAATAGATATAATAAATTAATAATTCTTACAATTTACAATAATTCTATAATAAAATAACAAGACATAATATTTATACGTTTGTAATATATAATACGAAATTCGTCAAACTATTTTATATATATATAAGACATTAAAAGTACATTATATATTAATAGCTTTGTCAAATATTAATTTCGAAAGATGAAAATATTTTTTTATATGTTTATAATGTTCAAATAAATTAAAATACTCATTTAATATTTATTTTTCTTCTGATAATTATAATATGTTATAATATATCATAACAAGTATTAGTTTTGTTGATGCGGTGGTGGACAAATGCATTCATTATCTAAATGATCTTTAAGCCATTCCATATAATTTGTTAATTTGGTATATATACCTGGAAAATTTGGTCTTGCGCATCCACGTCCCCATGAAACGATACCTTTCAACACAAAAATTTAGGAACTTTAAAGTGTAAATTGATATTAGACATATTTTTTAATAATAATAAATAGAATTCTGTTTATTTAATATTAAGAAAAAAATTTAATTTAAAATTTATTAATTATTCAGATATTTAATGTGTGTGTGTGCGTGTAAAAACATTCGCAATTATAGCTTATATAACAAAAAACATGAATTGTAGTTATTATGCACAAAAAAAAATTTATTTTAGTTTTAAAATTGAAAATTGCTAATAAAGTTAATATAAGTTTTATTAAATGTATCTGATATCTTTTGTAAACTTAAATACATACCTATTACTTCAAGTTGTCCATGAACTCCTTTGACATGTAGTGGGCCCCCGCTATCTCCCTTTAAGTAAACAGAACAATATAAATAAAAATATATATTGTGCGCGCAAAGGAACAATAAAATGAAGATAATTTATTTTTTATTTTTATGAAAAAGTTGATTTAATGTCAAAATTTCAATATAAAAATCAATACAAATATATATACTTTTATTATATACACATATAATACACTTTTATCTTGCTTTCTTTTTATTCAGAAATATCAGTTATTTGCATTTATTTCAAACTCCTGAAATACTCACAAAACAGGCGTCGCGTTTTCCATCGAGGTAACCAGAGCAAAACATATTTTCCGTAATGCGATTTTTTGGGAATCCAGATTGATCGCATTCTTCTTGTGACAAAATTGGTAAATTGACTTTTCGCAGTTCGTTACTTATTGGCTTGTTTTCCCCTGTTCGACCCCATCCAACTGCAGTTGCAATTGCTCCCGTATAATCGATAGTTCCTATAATTTTATAAATTTATAAATTTTGCAAATTTATTATCTTTAATTTATATTTTTTATTGTCATTTGAATCGGATTCTAGAAATTGTAATTTCTGCTTCATTTATTATTTAAATTTTTGAATATCAAATTTGAATTCAGAATATATTTAACATATAAAATTTATTCAACATATAAAATAAATATAAAATAAATATAAATATAAATATAAAATAAATATAAGATGCAAAATATTTTATAAAGTTGATGTAAAACAACGTTACAATAAATTTTAATTTTATGTAGATATTTATCTATTGTAATTGCAGAAAAATATTATTATTATATAACACGTGTGTATTATATAAAAAATGGAATAATTGTAATAATTAACTTATAGCATAACTTGAAAGCAGAACATTTCTCTGAAACTTATATACATATTTCATTAATATAAAAAATAGCTTACTATCTTCAGGTTTCATTAATATAAAAAATAGCTTACTATCTTCAGGTAAACATGCTGCTCGCACGAAATTATCTATAGATACAGGTTCATCCATCTCGATAATCGCAATATCGTTATTAAAAGAATGAGCATCAAAGTTTTCGTGAATGGTTGCTGATTTAATACGACGGACTATAGCATTGTTGCTTATCGAAGGACGGTCGCTATCCATTAAAACAAGTTTGATAGTCTTAATATCATATCTGAAAATTATATTGATAATACAACGTTAATACATTATAACAGTTATAACTCTATAATTAGGAAAATAATTTATAAATATATGTAATTATCTATTATCTATTATCTATTATCATTGATGATTATAATTGACTGATATTTACCCTCGCAAGCAATGTGCTGCTGTCAAAAGATGCTTGCGTGTTATTACAGTTCCGGCACAATAGAAATTTCCCATCTTGGTCATACTAACAAGCCAGGGATAGTTGTAAATATTTGTCACGTTGCCGCCGACAATTCGAGAGTTTCTTCTAAGTCCGCAGGCTGCAATTAATATAATAATACATGTCACAGACAGCACATATTTGTGTAAAAAATGTCTCACAAATGTTTCTTCGAAATGTTTCATAATCGACTCTTAAAAACGTTTCTGATTGGTTAAAAAATATCCACTTGAAAAACGTTAAGAGATACGTTTCTTTTTTGATAAAAAAACGTTTTCTTCTTTTATTCGTTAAACGTTTATTTTCTCATAGAAGTGATAAAATAATGCATTCATACACATTCTCTGAAGGTGAATTAGTAACTAGTATATTATCATTGAAAATAGTAAATAGTCACTGATGATTACAACAGATTATACATATAGCACTATAAATCAATAATATTTCACTGAAAGAATTAATAATATTGAATATTTCAATCAATAATATTAAATATAAATTACAATTTATCTCTATTTACTAATAAAATTAAAAATTTATATATAAATATATATATATATATATATATATATATATATATATTACGAAAACTATATATTAATTTCTACTTTCAAATATATGAATAAAATCACACTAAGAATCACTAGAATAGTATAAATGCTTATTTTTTGTTACTTTATCTTATATCTCATATGTATATGTATATATATATATGTATATATGTATAGATAATTTGTATATATATATGTATATATAATTTAAATTAATTTGAAATTAATTTGAAAATAATTAAAAATTAATTTTTATTCTGTCTATAGAAACACGAAAAATATCTTAACTTTTCTAAAATTAATCTTAAATTTCCTTAACTATGGTTTTAAAAATTTCTATATAAACATTTCTAATTAATGCCTTGCGGTTAAAAAACATTGAATATGTTTAAGAAACGTACAAAACGAACGTGTGCTACGTGGGATGTTTTCCAATTATTTATAACTAATTAATTATTATCTATTATTAAGAAAAATTATTTTTGTTTACATACATATATACACATATATATATACACAGATTTTTATATCATCAAATATATTCCGATTAGAAATCCATTATCTCAAATGCTTTCACTTACTGCAATCTTTACAGACGTTCGGCCTTTTGGAAGAGGATATGGGTGCAGGATCGAAATCTATATAGGATACTTCATCTATTGTCGGATGATCAACAATCTCAGCATTCGTGATATTGTAGTGCACTTGAGCGTTTGAAGCAGGAAAATTCCGTATATTATTTTCAAGCACCTGAAGAGGCATATGAATGATTATATGAATTCTTTTTCATCAATTCTACTTGCCTTCAAATTTTAAGAAATTAGAGAAGTATAAATTTACTATTACTTTATAGACTTTATAGATTACTTTTATTTTAGACTCTTATTACAGAAGAAATAACTATTTTGTAATAATTACACATATTTTTTATGCAATATTTTCAGATTGTTTAAATATTCCTGTACCAATAATAAAAAATAAAAAGTAAAATTTAAAGACATTCAAGAAATCTGTATTATCAATAGAACAAATGGATTTGATAATTCGGAAATATCTAAATAAAGTTCAAAGAACTTAGTATAATCACGAAACATTACAGGAATACAAAAAAAATTAATTTAATTATATGTTGATTATACGAAATTTTCATTTTAATATATTTATAGTATTATTGCATACAGTATTAGAATTTAATGATTCAAATATAGATTTAAACAGATGAGAACAAAATACTTCACTGCACTGTCATTATGAAATACTGCTACTATTACTATTACTTTCTCTCTTTCTACTAGTTTTAAAAAAACACGTTCATATAATGGTTATTTAACTTACCACGTGAGGCAACGCGTAGACGCAACAGCTCAGGCATAGAGAGAGCGCGAGCATGTATTCCATTCTTGCATAGCCGTCCATGTTTCGTACGGTTTCCGGTAATTGATGCGCGTCAACCCCGATTTGATTTTATTGCAAGATTCGGATCCACGCACGTGCTTACAAGCCGTGGTGTGAAAAGTCTAAAGGTATCCCGGGCGTTTTGCCGTTTTATAGTAAATTATAACTAATGAAGAGAACCCACGAGAGCTGTGCGTCTGTCTCGGTGGGGATCGTCAACCTTGAGTGGTGCGTTTGCATTGGCAGATGTTGCATGTGACAGCCTTTAAATCACCCGGTCGGCATCCGTTGTCTCTCACCTGCACAGGTACAGACACAATGAGATTCGCACGCGTATACAGGTTTGTATGAGCGCGACAGTGTATTTCGCAATCGACCCATCGGCCACCACGGATCCGTCCAATGTCAACCCAGTCCACCTCCTCTCACGGCGACTCTTCTTTTCAGGGATCCATCGAGACTGGATCAATGTCAATTTCGTCAGCGTATGAACATCACCGCCTCACGACCGTCACGGTTCATTGTCGCGGCGTAACGATGACAACAATGATAATGATGATATTGATGGCGATGGGTTGCTGTCGCTGATGATAGCTCACGCGAACGAGACAACTAATTGCAGGGATTTCACTCGGCGCACTTTACACCTCAGGCGAAGTGTCGTCACGTGAATCTCATTTTTATCGTTGAATTCCATAAGACGCTTTCTTCCAGTATGCGTTTACGAGGTTACATTCTTCCTGAAGAAAGTGATTTGCTTTTTGATGAGTGAGCGCTCGGCGCAAAGATCGATCGCATTATACATTATTGGGACCATCTTTTTATACGACAATGAGTTTAATAATCACTATGTATTTTTTAAAAAGAAGTATAAGAAAGTAATAAAATTCTATTTAAATCAAAGATTTATAAATTAATACGTATATTTACAACGTATTTGTCTTGAATTAATATTAATAAATTACATCGAGATCACAAAATAAGATGCTATTGTAATTTTAATTAAGTCAATATAATAATGATTTGTCATTAATCTCATTGAATTAGAACAAAGCCGTAGCGAAAGAAAACAAAATTATCTCGGGTCGTTAACTTGCTGCAGTCGTAAACATGCGATGAGGCTGCGAGTTAATAGAACGTTTGATTTTATCAAGGTTCTTCGATCGCGTAGTGGAAGAAAACGCATAAAAGGGCTCGCGTAACAAATACACAATATCCAGCGCAAAAGGCACCATAAGAAAGCATTCAATTAAAAATGTCGCAATTTCTCCAGCACATAATTTTGAATTTGTTCCGCATCATTTGATCGCAGTCGCGCATTCATCAACACAGACTGAAAAACATCGTCTTGCAACTTATTAGCTTACAGATGATTTTACTTTCACTGCGAATTATATGCGTCTTCCTTGCCTCCTCTTCTCTCTTTGACGTGTAATTTTCGTCTGACGTTAAAATTGCAGTATCTCGAGGCAGAAATGCGAAAGTGTACCTCTTGAAATGATCACGAAAATTTGAGATGAACAATTTAAAGTTCACGTTTAAATTTGACATTATGGCAAATTTTCAAGCAATATATATAGTATACATACATATATAGGTCTTTATTTTTCATGTTAAAATAAAATAATGTTAAAATAAAATGTTGCATGTAATTTTTATTTGATGTCAAAATTATAGCCTTTTGAGAAATGCGAAAGTATTCCTCTTAAAACGCTCACTACAAAAGATAAGCGGATGATCTAAAGTTAGTGTTTAATTTATATATATATATATATATATATATATATATATATATATATGCGCATGTTAGGGTTACATTTTACTTTAATTATTATTATTTTCTGTGCAATTATTTAATTGATCAATTAATTTAATGAAATATTTTTGTAATCTTAACATAAATTCCGTTTGAAAAATAAGTATAAATATATTGTGCTCTGTATCTGTGACAACATAAATTCGCAATGTAAACAGATTCATCGCGAATATAATCTGACCCTGAAGATACATGAAAAATAAAGCAAGACTTCTGATAAAGTTAGACATACATCGAAACAATAAGGTAATGCGCGTCTCGCCCGCATGAGGGTCGCGTTACCTATATACCTTGACCCACTGTTACAAGTTACATGTATAATATCTCGACCTGCCGCATCTTATCTCGTTTGTTCAGCACTAATCGAAGTTATGATAAGCTGGGTCAGACGGAGAGATAATGACAAAGGCAAGGGCGAGGATCTGTTAAAAGATTTGACATGTCACGTCATGATATACCATGAATATGTTATCATGTGTATCATATCAGCAACGTGACATTCTTTCGCAATTTTAATAGAAATTTGTACTAGTTTATTTTTTCTTTTTTTTTTCTTTTTCTCTCTTTTTTTCTCACTTTTAAATTACCAACCAAATGCTTTTTATCATCCGAATAATTCATCTTTTATTTGAAGCTTTAAAACTAATCGTAAGATATCATAAGATATGTAACGCATGGCATTTAATATATTTAATAGTAATATCCCAAGAAAAAATGGATTTATATAATTATATAAGATCATATATAAATATATATGAATATAATAATTGATCATATAAAATTTGATCCAAAATTTGGCGCGATATGATCATATATTTATATAATCATATTTGGCTAGATCTCATTATCAGATGCAAATTTATATTATCGGTTATGAAAAAATCTAATAATATATGTTGTATTATATTGTATGTTGTATTATGTTGTATATATTGTATGATCATATATAATAATATTTGAAATTTGGCATAATATAATCTTATCTTTATGCAATCATATTTAGCTAGATCTAATTATATATGAAAACAGACTTGGTCGAATATGATTATATAAATATAAAATCATATAGCGCCAATTTGCGGATATTATATTATATGTAATCATATAAAATTATATACATCATCAGATCTTTTTGCATTTAATTATGCATATTTATATCTGAACACATTATATCCATTTTTTCTTAGGTATACATTTGAAAAAGACTATGTATATATTATTAAAAATATAAGACTCGAAATATAAAATTAAACAAATCAGTTTTAATGGCAATACGAGTCAAGTGTCGATCTTATAACACAGTTATTTATTATACAAACAAATAAGTATGGAACAAATTACAATGAAAAGATTGCGAACGTTTCGACCCTCTTTTGGGGTCCTCTTCAGCGCAAATGTGATGATAAAAAATAACAAAGGTTTTATCAGAGTCAATTATAAAGTGTACCATCTAAAGTAAAGACAAATGTTTCGGTATCTCATTATTTTAACGATGCCTGTAATAAAATCAGTCAAATTTGTCAAAGAAAAGTTATATGAAATTAAAAAAAACAAACAGTAAAAAAAAATTAAATAAATAATGTAAACTAATGTAAACAAAAAAGAAAAAAGAAATAGGTAATGAAATTAAACTAGAAAAGTTAAGAGGTTGAAATTTCCATGTCAATTTTTTAAAAGTCAATAACAATTAGAATAATTTAAACAAATATAAACTAAGTATAGAATCATATAGAATTAAAAATTAAAAAGTTAAGAAGTTAAAACTACGAAATAAGACTTACTTTTTCGAAATTAGACTTAAAATTGTTTAATATATATCTCGACAATAATTTTAGATTACTTTCGCTGGATGTGATTTCTCTTTTCACTAACGTGCCAATAGATTTGATTATTGATAGTGTTTCTTCCAGATAATAGGAGTAATATCTCGCCAAATTGTGACATACCACGCAATGAATTTCTTTTAGCAGTAAAATTTATATTGGATTCATCCTTTTTCATCTTTAACGATATCATTTACAAACAATCCTTTGGTACCTCGATGGGCTTCCCCCTGTCTCCTATCGTAGCCATAGACATAGTTATAGGATTTAGACATAGTCGTAGACATAGTTATAGGATTTAGACATAGTCGTAAACATAGTTATAGGATTTAGAAGAAGATTTAGTTTACATTATCTATTTAATTTTTTTTACTCTTTGTTTTTTAATTTTACATAACTTTTCTTTGACAAATTTGACTGATTTTACTACAGGCATCGTCAAAATAATGAGATACCGAAACATTTATCTTTACTTTAGGCGGCACACTTTATAATTGATTCCGATGAAATCTTTGTTATTTTTCATCACATTTGTGCTGAAGAGGGTTCAAAAATAGGGTCGAGATGTTCGCAATCTTTTCATTGTAATTTGTTCCATACTTATTTATTTGTATAATAAATAACTGTTATAAGATCGACACTTGACTCATATTGCCATTAAAACTGATTTGTTTAATTATGTATGTATATGTAATAGTTTAACAGTTCTTTCAAAAACTATTTCCTAAACACTATATTATTTTAATTTATTTATTTCATTTGTTTTGAACTACAGAAACTCACATTTTATATAATTTCATAGCAGATTTATTTTTCGGTGTCTAAAATAAAATAACATACATCTGAATATATACAGTAGATAGTTAAGAAATAATTATTTAAATAAAAGTTGTGGGACATATAAAAGGCAAACTGGATACGATGTTATCATTTCATATTTCGACGTATATCTATCGGAGATTCAGTTCTTTTAAACGGAATTACTCTCCTTAGATCATCCGTCGAAATTTTTTTATACGAATGGATTCCTTACAATATTTGACGTTAAAAGTTGAAGAAAATTAAAAATTAAATGTGAAAATTGAATAAATTTAAGTTATCGCACAAAATTATTTCATAGTTTATGTTAAATTTATATATACTTATATATATTTTTTAAGTCGCACATAAAAATATATTCTTATTGAATAATAAATATTTTCAAAAATTTATGAGAAATATCTTTTAATTTATCAAATTTTTTTTTCTTAAATCTAAAACAAATACATTATTTCCTAACATTTTAATGGAAAGACTGCAATAAAATAATATACCTAAATAATTTATTGTTATATATATATATATATATATATATAACAATAACCTAAATAATTTATATACATATATATGTATATATATAAATTATTTAGGTGTATTATTTTATTGCAGCCACTTTATACTAAAACATTTGTAAATAATGTATTTATTTTATATTTAAGAAAAAAAAATTTGATAGATAAAAAGACATTTCTCATAAATTTTTGAAAATATTTATTATTCAACAAGAATATATTTGTATGTGCGATTTAAAAAAAATATTTAGAAGATTTTCAATGCAAAAAAACATATTTTTTATAATGTTTGTGTAAGTTTTAAGCTCTGCTTTTCAATAAATTTCTTTTAACTAAAACATTTATCTTCGCCTTTTTATACCGTTTTTAAAAGAGAAATCATGAGAGAAGAAAAAAGAATCAGCTGAGCAAGATACGCTATCTTTTACGAATCGATCGAGGTTTAATAGATCTGTTATGTGCTTACGACATTTGTTTGAAGTAAATTTACATATCGCTAGCCTAAATTTTCACTCCTGCTACCGGCTTGTCCACTATTCCGTATAAATAAAGACGTGACACCGAATCGAAGGCTTGTGTGAAAGTATATGCCGCCTCGGCAGGAAGTGTTGTGGAACAGATCGGTTTAACACTTCTTTTCGCAGTGCTCAATAAGAAATACCGCAGTATTGTCGTTAGTGATATATTTTAAAGTGCAAGAAATAATGTTGTTTCGATTTATATTGTTATTAATATTTGCCGTATTTGCAAAAACGACCACAATTGATAATAAGGTATCGAAATATGTTAATAATGTGGCATTTTCGCATATTTATGGACAGATTATGAACATTTCTTCAATTAACTTATGATAAAATCAAATATAAAATAATGTATTTAAAAGTGAAACATGGAATACACAAATCATAAAACTATATTCCAGATTCATTGTACGGCTTCCGAAGTTTTTAATTCAAAATGGATTTTAAATTACGAAAGAGAATTAAGTTTTCTTAAATTTAACTCGCGAAAAGTTTCACTGTTCAACAGTTATATAAAGATATCGGTATTTTAAAGATATATAGATGATAATTCAAATATTAAAACTATAAGAATTTTTAATATATATATATATATATATATATATATATATATATATATAAGATTTTTTAATCTAAATATTTTATAAAGAATATACATATTAATATGTATATTAAATAATAGTTGCAGACAATTTCCACTTTACGCGTGGAAGAACAAAATTTGAATAATACAAATGTAATCAATAACGAGAAAGGATTCTGGGATTGGTTGGCAGATATAGTGGCGCCAAAACCACCAACAGTTACAGAACCTTCACAAGCAGAAAAATGTACAACATGCAGTACGTTTGAGTTTATTATTTTTTTTTATATTTGTATAATTATTTTTTTTCTCATTTTAAACATAATTTTAATTTATTTTTATAATTAGAAAATATATTAAAAAGATTCACAAAATGATATTATATATAATAATCTTATTTTATAAATATATATAAAAATTACTCATTTTAATTTTGTAAATTTTTTATTGAAGCAAAATAAATAGTATGTATAGAATAGGAAAAAGAGAAAAAAATGAGAATAAAATATATTTATATAATAATTCTTTATTTATAGCGTGCGGTTTGACAAACAAACATAATCGTATTGTCGGAGGCAACGAAACACTCGTTATTGAGTATCCTTGGGTGGCTTTATTGATGTATTTGAGTACCAATTATTTGAGGACCGCAAAATTTTATTGCGGTGGTACAGTTATAAATTCACGATACGTGTTGACAGCAGCTCATTGCATTCACAAGTAAGTTTACTCATTTATGTCACTTTCTGATTATCGCTAAACATATCTATGCAAAATATATACAAGAATTTGATCGATAATCAATTAAATTCTTTTTCATAGATTTGATCCAAGTAAACTGATTGTCCGAATATTGGAGCACGATTGGAATTCGACTAATGAAAGCAAAACGCAAGATTTTAAAGTAGAAAAGACGATCAAACACAGTGGTTATTCGAATGTTAATTACGACAACGATATTGGACTCATTAAGCTAAAGGAACCTATCAAGTTCCAGGGCTCGATGCGACCTGCCTGTCTTCCGGAACAAGGTAATTTTTATAAGCGAAGTTAGTTTTATCAAAAAATAATTTATATTATTTTTTTAAACATGTCAAATATATAATTCTTGGATCTTGGAAATATTACAAATTTGCATAAAATTAATCTTGAACAAACTGAGGAAGATAATGAGATGATAACTGACTATGTAAATTTAATCATATGATAGATTATATATTGTTTATCTGTTTTCAGGAAAAACCTTTGCTGGTGAAAAAGGTACAGTGACTGGATGGGGCGCTACCAAAGAAGGTGGATCAGTATCAAGTCATTTACAAAAAGTTGATGTTCCCATTCTTTCAAACGCGGAATGTCGCGCTACTAGCTATCCATCGTATAAAATAACAGATAATATGCTGTGTGCGGGTTACAAGCAAGGTGGCAAAGATTCTTGTCAAGTAAGCAGAAAATCGTACCGGACTTCTATTTTGTCCGCTATTGATACATGTCACATATATGTATGGTAAATTAAAAAAATAACGATGATGCGAAAATGCGAATAATATGAAAATTTTTATATTATTAGGGAGATAGCGGTGGTCCATTGCACGTAGAAAAAAATGGTGCTAACTATGTAGTTGGTAAGTTCAACTTCGAATTGAGTTAGTTATCCAATTTAGATATGTGAGATTCAAGAAATTGTTAGATGCAAGGAAACTTTCGCGAAATATTGGAATACTTTCACGTGACATAAGCTAAACAACTTTAAAAGTTTAAATTTTTCAATTTTGCAGGAATTGTATCCTGGGGAGAAGGATGTGCGCGACCTGGTTATCCCGGAGTTTATTGCAGAACAAATCGATTTCTCACATGGATTGAACATAATACGAAGGATGGTTGTTATTGTCACAACAATTAATATAGACTGATATATTTATTTCAGTTAATTTTACATTTATTCGATAATAATGAGAAATACTCAATACAGGCCGTGAAAATAGCTAATAAATACATAATGAAACACGTACGTAGTTAACAATTTTTACTAGCTATTAACATTTTTCGAAAAATGTAACATTCGAAAATTAGATGCATCGTTAGTAAATTTCATTACATTAAAATGGTTGAATCATATGGAATAATATATTTTTATAATAGATATATTAATATCTGCAACAATCGCGGTTTACGTAATACATTCACATTATTAGGATTGAAAAGTTTAAAATTTTATTGTATACTCAAAATTCATCGCATCGTAACATAATTATTTAATTCATATTTATTGATTTTTTACCATATATTTGTATAAGTATTGTTGTTGTTAATTAAGATAATTTAATATTTTACAATTGCATTTAGAACAATTATACATAATGTGAGACTCTGTAACATCTTACATTAGGTACATGAAAGTACACATAGCAATTAAAAATTAAGGCACGCGCGCTCCTCTTTACGTTGATCAATACTCACAATAAGTAAATACATTAAGGAAGAAAGTCGCAAGACTTTCTCTGTTTTTTTCAATCAAACGATTTGGTATTTCAGTGAAAACTCACGTACACTATTTGTAACGCGATTTACATAGTGAAGACAAATGGCAATATAAAATGTGCAATTCGATAGCATGATATTGATAAGACAGAAATATATAATCAATGTAAACGTAATTTAAATTTTTCATGTGATAATGATTTTTTATGGAATTTAAACAAATGCTTTTGCATTGCATATGGATATCAAGATTTGAATATATTAAAGATATTTACCTTTTTATATTAAAATAAAACGATTTTTTTATCATGTAAGATACACATCTTCTTCATAAAGGAATTATATATGGACTTTAGTTATTTAAATATTAAAGTTCTATATACTAGTAACTAAGAGACCTTCAACTACTGCATTTTCATCATCTGACGAGTTAATTTCTTGTTTCGATTCATTATTTGCTGCTGGTTGTAACCAATACGTTTCCATATCTCCTTTTCCCTTCACATAAATAATAATATTTAACATTATATATATATATATATATATATATATATATATATATATATGTGTATACAAGGTCCCCAATTTAAACGTCAAAACTTTGGGAGCGTGTAAAGCTGCATTGCTGCAAGAGATCAACAATTTGAACAAAATTTTCACTAAGATAAGATAGATAATAATATAAATAAATAAATGAAAAAAACTTTTTTTCAAAAAATTTTTTTGTTTCTTTTTTTACGATTTTCTTCAAAATGAAGCAAAAACGAGCAATAGAAAGGACTTTTTTTCTTAGTTTATCGTGCCTCTTCTACACGCTCCCGAAGTTTTGACGTTTAAATTGAGGACATCCCGTATATTATATACATATATACATATATTGAGGCTTCAGCATAAGAGCGTAAGTCCGAAATGAACGAGACAACTTTACAGGAACAAGAGAGAAACATTTAAAAATTTAAATTTGATACATAGGAATACAATTTTCATATTGTTTTAGATAAGAAGGCTTTTATAATTTTTGAACATATATATATATATATAATTTAAATATTCTTAATATTGATATTATTATAATTTGGTATTAAATTTAGAAATACTTATCTATTACTTAATTATTACGCAAAAAACTTTTATAATACAAACCTTTACCCATACGCCACGTGATTCGGTGCGATAACGATCTTTAGGTAACAAAGCTTTGGTACTGGAAGAAATGTGCACCTTTCCTGGCTATATCATACAATATAATTAAATAGAGAACACAAAAAGATCTCAAAAAGAAAAAAATAATAAAAATATAAAAGAGAGTTTTTGAATATATATTTGAATATGTTTTTGAATATCTATATGATGTAAGAAAAAGACAAACTGATACGATAAACGTAATATATAATATGTAATGTATTATTTACTATGTGTCAATAAACTTTTGAACTTTAATCTCTACTTTTCTTAATATCATATACAAATTTGAGTTAAAAAAAGAATAATTTATTAAAAAGAAAATAATTTATATATTAGTTAAACTTGCCCTCTGTTTTTATTTATATTGTCAATATATTATATTCTATCATGTGTTTTTTTTTATATATTATATTATATTGTTATCTAAAGACAAAGAAAATTATGTTACCAAACTAGTAGTCTGCATTCTGGAAGCTGTATTAACAGTATCCCCAAAGAAGCAATATCTCGGTAACTTAATGCCTACCACACCAGCCACTGCTGGTCCGGAATGAATTCCTGAAGAATTCCAAAAGAAATTCTATTATCTCTATTTAGTACGTATTGACGTATCGTACGATTTTATTTTATTCTTTACGAAAATAAAATTTAATAAACGTTAAATAAAGGAAGTTATATTTCTCAGAGATGATATCGTATTCAAAATATCATATAAGATAATATCGTACTCAAAAGTCAAACAACTGTGTATATGATTACCTATACGGATTCGTATGTCTAATCCGGAAGATAATTCGAGAGATCGAACATTTTCGATAAGTTGTAGAGAAACGTCGGCGATATTTTGCGCATGATTTTCGTTTTTATCTGGTGCCCCGCTAGCTGCCATGTACACGCGACCAACGGTTTCTACCTGTAATGACAATCATAAATAATAAATATGACGTACATAAATATGACGTTATATGTACGTTATATTTAAGTAATGTAACTTTTCTCTTCCGATGTTACATTGTTATGATCGTAATTTATTGATAAAATTCAGATAAGCTATCTTCACAATTCGAGCACAGGAAATTTATATTGAATTAATACTACTACCTGATCGGATTAAGATTCTATAAATATTACCTCGTATTAGTCAAATTTTATCTCTAATGATATATTATCTAGTTATTCCAGTGAAATATGTAATAATCTTACTTTGTAAACGTTAAACTGATCCATTAGAGTATCGAAACAGGAAAAAACAGCATTCATTGATAAGACGATATCCATTGCTCCCTCAATGGTTGAATAATCAAAGTCGCATAATTCGCAGAAAAGAACTGTTATTGACTCAAATGACTAAAAGTAAAGTATCATTAAATATTTCTTATCAGATATGATCGAGAAGAGGACCGGAAACTTTTAAAATCTGATTTTATACTTCACAAGTGCTTAGTGGACTGGCTCCGGCTCGTAATCGATCTGCTACTGTTTGTGGAATCATAGAATATAGAAGTTCGTCGCTCTTATTTTTCCATCGATCCAGTAGTGCATAGCTATTCTCTAATTCCGCTGATCTTTGTTCTGCTCTCTCAAACATCATTTCCAGTCTTCAAGTAAAAGGGGAGTATAGATTATTTACAGAAAATTATTTATAAAATAATTTTTGTTGGATTACATAGAGAGATATATGTTAAAAGTATATAGAAATTAATTCTTAAAATTAATTGTAAATATAGTTACAAAATGTTAAATGAATATTTGTTAGCGCAGTTAAACATACGATAAATAGGGAAATAAAGAAATATAATAATGATAATAATAACGATAATAATGATATTAATAATAATAAATTGTTTTTTTTACTTAAAATATATCTAATTTTTTATGTATTTTTTAAATATTGTTTCTGATAAATGAAAATTTGATGAAATACACCTTCCGCAATGTTGCCATCCTGCTAGTACCAGTTCTTTGCTCATACCGTGAGGATTTAGATCGTTCAAATATAAACTCATATTAAGAAGTTCGTCCAAATTGTTGATTCTATTATAGGAGAACAGTTGCAGTTATTACAGATTTGTTATCTTTTGGAAAATAAAATCATAGTGATACTGGGAGAAAACTTACAAAGGACTGCAGAGAAATATAATCGCTTTAATATCTTCGATATATCTCATTTGGCCTTTCAACAAGATGCTCCTCGCACCTTGACTTCCACGCCTATCTAAACCACTGCTTGTACTCGGTGTACTGTCTGAATTTATCGAGGAGTGATGATCATTCGCTCTAATGAGTTCTAATTCGAATATCACTGAATGTAAGTACATTATCTAAAAAAATAAATTTTATAAATATATTTTTTTATATTACAATTTATGTGTTTTATATTATTTTAGAAAATTAATTATTGCAGCTTTCAAAGTATAATATCTACGTTTTGCGAGTCTTACGTTTCCCCATGTAAACGAAATTCCCTTGGGTCTCCTTAATTTGAATATTTCTATAGCATGCTTATTTAAAATAGACGTGGTACCACCCCAGGCTTGGAGCAGTTTATCACCTGCTCCTAGAATTCGCATATCCTTGTTCATCACGACGCCAAATGGAAAAAGGCGTAAGAAAAATGTGCAAGAAACTGGTGGCAATTCACGGTTTAATGTAGTTTTTATTGTGTTATTCTTCGTGATCTAGTGATTTTAAATGTAATATAAATTATAAATTAAATATTAAATTTATTTCAAACGGCATAGTTAATAAAATTCGAATTAATTAATAAATATCAGTATTAAATAATATCTCCTTACAATTTAGTACTCATATTTATTAATTAATTAGAATTTTATATTGCTATATGTATTTCACACTAATTTACATTAGAATGTTAAGATTCTATCCAAAATATTAAGGATTGTCAGAAATATTGCAGAGAGCATTTTTGACTATTGATAGGCTTATATTAAATAAAGTAAAAATATGGACTTTCCACACGTATGTTGCATTTTCCTCTGATCTCATAGCAAATGGGTTTTTAATTGTTAATTTCCACTGTATGTATATCATTTACTTTTAACAATATAGTATAAATCAAAATATGATTTATTATTATTTATTTTCACTTTAATAAGTTTTTATCTACAAGCTAATAGTATATATATCATTATTAGAAAAGAAGAAATTATAATAAAATTTAAAACTAAAACTTACATATTGATGATTATCAAAATCAATACGGAACTTAACCATTACGTTTCGAGATCCTGGAATATTGTTTGAACTTTCTAAAACTCTAATACTTAATTCTGTATTGTATAACTCTTTTGCTATCTGAAATAATTGTCCTGTAAGAGAGTAGAGTTATATTATAATTAATAGAATATTTTTATATATGTATGAATATAGAATATATATATATATATATATATATATATATATAGAAAAAACATAATTAAACTGATGAGTAATAACTTATATGTATACCTATTTCTATGTAAAAAAATTTCAAAGTTAATTTTGTGCGCGTTCATGTATCATGATAATCGTGATATGATTAATTTTTTTACACAAATAAGCACAATATTTTATAAGCGGAAAATTATTAAATTATTAAATTTAGTATTATAAAATATCATGCTATAATTTTACTTAATTCACATAAGATTCTAGAAAAAATATTTTCAAGAAATATGTAATAAAGGAAAGTAATCAATTCTTACCCATAAAATAATGTGTAAAGCCTTGTCGAGTACTTCTGTAAACCAGAACAACTCCCTGTGGATCGACATGTGTTGTATACATAGAAGGACTCTTCATTTTTGGATATGTAAATCTCATTTGCATATGAATATTGTCAACGCTTTGTAAAAAATCGCAGAAATAACGACCAGTTGCTTTTACAGTGCAATCGTATCTAATAAAATAAATTAAGCATAATAAATGTAAATTTTAGCTTGATTTTTATATAAATATAAGTATTCAAGAAACATATAGGTGGCTTGTGTGTGTGTGCGCGCGCGCGCGCGCGCGCGCGCGCGTGTGTGTGATCGTTGTATAATGTATAATTTATTAAATTTCTATGCTCCGTTTTTGTTTTCTAATATTAATAATAAAATGTGATCGTTGCATGTATAATTTATTAAATTTCTATACATGTTTCCGTTTTTTGTTTTCCAATATTAATAATAAAATTTTATCTTTTGATTTTTGATCAATTTTTTGTAATCGTAAAATATGTGTAATTGAAAACAAGAAACTGATGCAAATATCAAAAGTGCTAAGATATATAAAATTTATATATATAATGAAATAAATACTTAAAAATTAATTATAAAATTAATAATAAATTTTCGAAGCTGAGAACTTATTATTTTTAATAAAGAGAAGTAAATTATATAATAAACATAATTTTATATATATATTTTTTTTTTTTAATTAAATGTTATAAGAAAATTCCTTCTTTTTTAAATCAGATAAAATTATATTTTATAAAATATAATTATATAAAATTATATTTTATAAAATATAATTATATAAAATGTTTCCACTTATGATTTGAGATTTATAGATATGCAAGATTACATTAGTTTGCACATTTCTTCAGTTCACAATTTTTAATATAATAGACATGTATTTTGTGAGTTCAAGTTTAAATTTAATAGTTATGTAGTCTCAATAAATAATAATTTTTCAGAAATTATATAAAATTATTTGGCAATTGTACATGAAAAATTTCGACTAATAACTTACCCTAAATTACTGAAAAATCTAACAAAACATTTTCCAAAAAACTGCATAATGTTATCCATAGAATCACCAGTATATATGGCAAGAGCTGCGGCCAAATTAGTCATTAGCTCATCAGAATATATTTGTCTTGTATTAAAAACCATGTGTTTACAATCAGCTTTCTCCAAAATGTGAAGCCATACTTCTTCGCCAAATTCTAACTATAAAGAAATTTTGTGCTTGTATTTTATTTCATACTTTCTCTCTTCAGTTATTAAATCTCTCTCTCTCTCTCTCTCTCTCTCTCTCTCTCTTTCTCTCTGTCTCTCTTTTTTTCTCTTTCTTTTTCTCTTGAATAACATCAAAAATTATACTTTTTTTTTTAAATAGAATAGAATTACATAGATAACAAATATGTTTATAAAGTACATAACATGCTAAATATAGGATATTGTATGTTAAAGAAGAATATCTATAATAATATGTCGATTAATATGCTAGATAAGATTTCATAGGGCAATTATAAATTGATTCAGATAATCAAACCAATTTCCCAGTCTGCATAGGCCAATTATTGTTTCTTTTACTAAAATGATAGGCGGTCACGAACATATGACTATTAATGAGAAGAGCTTTCAGAAACCATATCGCAAATGAGCACGCAAATTTGCAAACGAAAATATTTCAGTACGATTAATTATAAAAATATATGTACAGTATTTCTAGAATATTTTAAATTTTACAAAAATATATGTTCAATTTGAAATAAATTCAGTATGCATGAAAAGTTCAACTTAATAAGTGAAAAAATTAAAGGATATTATACATTAATAATTAATTTTTATAAAAGTTTTACATTGACTATGAAATTTTAATGTGATAACAGACAATATATTGTGTATAAATATTTTAATTATTCTATATTATTATTTTTATTCTATAATTAGAATTGGTAATTATATATTATCATATGTATGTTATTATTTATACTTCTAATAATAGAATATTATTAAAAAAAAGTTTATATATAGAAAATAAATAAGAATATATTATTATATTAAAGTATATAATTATTAATAAGCATTTAAATAATTATTGAAAGCGGCAAGAGCAAAGAAATACAAGATATTAACACAAATCAATAATTGACCTTACGTGCTAATAGAATGATGCTATTTAAAACTTCATACAATTAAGGTGTCAAATTAAAAGGAAGTCTTTTAAGTCTCCATCCATATTCAAGTACTTTATTCAATACATATCTATGAAGCATTTCCTTTAGCAAATACGTGACATATGTTACAAATAGGTGTATCAATTTGGAACGATCCAAGAAAGCGAGACAAAGGGATATGTTAATTTAATAGATTATATTGATAATATGACGTCAATGAATAAAATAATGTTATTTGAGTTCTTCCTAATTAATATGTCATATAAATCATTAACTTACGAAACTTATATATATAATCATAATTAAATTCCACAAAATACTGACTTATTAGCGCTTAAAGAATAAAAGAAATTTAAAGTTTTAATTATATTACAATTTTGCAACTGCAATGTTAATTAAACTTTGTAAATAATTTTCGACGTTTTTTAATATTTATTTATATATTTTTATTATGTAATAAATAATTTAATTATATTAATAAATAATTTAAACATCTGATATAGTTATTTTTGTATGTATATATATATATATATATATATATATATATATTAAAATAATCTATCCTGTATATATATATATATACAGTATATATATATATATATATATATATACTGTATATATATATATACTGTATATATATATATATATATATATATATATATATACTGTATATATATATATATATATATATATATATATATATACAGGATAGATTATTTTAATCAATAGATATTATATAAATACATACGAATATCTCGAAAAGGAGAAGTTTTTTCAAAATATGTTTCAAACAAAAGTTTTATGACTTTGAGGGAAAAAAATAATGACATTATTAATTTAATTGTAAATGACGCCACTTTAGAGATTTTATCATGAAAGTCATTTTTTTAAGTGGAAGTCGATTTTTTTTAAATAAAAATTGTAGCTGGCAATTAGAGGAATTTCACGGTTTTATATTTTTTGAAATTGGATCATTTTTCACTGAAATACAGCATTTCAAAATTTAAGTGAAAAACTTCCACGCTCACATACAGTGTACGTATTTTGTAATTCCAAACCGCCCTCCATTTATGTTATTAGTTCTATTTGATGATCAACTAACTCCAGTCCGATTGACACGCATTTTCCCGCGCTTAGCATTACCCCGAATTGTGAAAGGCAAGGGGACTCACGTAAATCAAGCACCTCAAAGAGATAAAAGTTCCGCCACGTCTACGTCGTTCATCTTGGATAATACTAAGCGCGAGAAAATGCGTATCAATCGGTCTGGAGCTAGTTGATCATCAAATAAAACAAATAGAACCAGTTCAGATAATGGATAGGAACACACACAAATGGAGAGTGGTTTGGAATTACAAAATACGTACACTGTATGTGGGCGTGGAAGTTTTTCACTTAAACTTTGAAAGCTTATCTCAGCTGTATCTCAGTGAAAAATGATCCAATTTCAAAAAATAAAAAACCGTTGAATTCCTCTCAGTGCCAGCTACAACTTTTATTTCGAAAAAAAATCGACTTTCATTTAAAGAAATGGCTTCCATGATAAAATCTCTAAAGTGCAGCCATCTATAATAAAATTAATAATGTCATTATTTCTCCCCCTCAAAATCATAAAACTTATTTGAAACATTTTTCAAAAATACTTCTCTTTTTCGAGATATTCGCGTGTATTGATTAAAATGGTCTATCCTGTATATATATATATATATATATATATTCCACAATAAAATATATATGTAATATTTATGTCAAATTAATAATCTGTAAGTTCCATTAAAATTATTAAATTTTTCCTGCAAATTAGAGGTTTCTTTATAACAAGAATTGGCTTTTCTTATTTTCTTCTCCAAATTATAATCATATGAGTAAACAAGGGACCCTCTGTTTAGATAGAAATTAATTGTGTTTGAATTAGAAGTGCTATGTAATAATCTTATATCAAATACATCTCTCATAATACATTTTATGATAATAGATTTTTGATGACCCATACTTCATTAAATTTTTTACTTTTAAGCTAATTATTAAACTGTCTTACTATTTAATTAAAGTAAATGAAGTACTCATAAGAAGACGATAATATCATTAATATATTGTAAAAAAATTTTTGCTTAATATAATTAATTGTAGGAAATTGGATATACTCTAAAATGATTATATTTTCGATTGATAAATGAATTTAATTTTAGTTATAGTTAATTTATTTTATACAAAAAAAGTATAAATTGTAGATAATTTTAAGAAAAATATATTCGGAAATTTATTATTAGATTGTATAGTATATTAAGGTTATATAATATTTAACAAATTAATGTAAATATAATTAAACTTTGTGAAATTTATAAATATGTTACATAAAGCAGGAATATTTTATTTACAATATTTATGCTTGTATTAAACTTTTTTTTTAATATAAAAATTTATAAAACTTTAAATGTGAGTTAAATAAGATAAAAAACTTTGTTATACATACGTTATTTATATGTATATTTATATATTTGACAATAGAAGATTATAGTTCTAATAGAATATGAGATTTATTTAGAAATTATTACATTAGTAATTAATTTTAATATACAATAAATATTTATTAGGTTTTATCCCTCATTAGAAATTTTTTAAAATAAATTATCTGGAAAAAAAGGACAAAGAGACATGATGAGATAAAATCTGCGCAGTTAAAAGATAAATAATGTTCTTTGACGCAAAAAATATCGAGCGTATCTTTATGTGAACGTGAAACGAGCGAAAAAGAATTCACTTTTATTATTAATATAAGAAAAAGAATATTTAAACAGTCAAGTAAAAAAAATTGTGTAATAATTTAAATATTTTGGAATATCAAGTGGTAAAATTTTATTTTTTACTAGTGAAGCTACACAATACAAACTTTTTTAGACATTTCTAGGAACAGCTGCGCCACTATGTTCTTGTAAAACTTATGCGACTACATATAGTTACACAAGTTTTATGAGAACCAGTGATATTATTCGTAGAAAAGTCAAAAGTTCAAAATATAAAGAAATGAAAATGTTTGTTCGATAACTATACGCATAAAACCAAAAATTAGTAAATTATCTACTTTAATTTTTAAATATAGCTTATGCAATATAGCAAATATAAACTAAAAGATCTGATGAAAAATTCTGACGGAAAGTTGAGAAGAATATATTTCTATAATAAAGTAAAAAGTATGCTAACTTGGGACACTTATTAAATTTAAAATTATGCAGAATTCGTTGAACTTCTTAATTATAAGAAGTATTTAGTATAAAAACTCATAGAGATTATCGATACATTTGCAGCATATCAAAATTAAATTAATTACGTACATTATTTATACGTAGATTATATATAATAAATCTATATTATTTCTTTTGAGTATATGTATTGTTGTAAGAATATATAAAATAAAAATATTTAAAAAAATCTCTTATTAATAGTAAAATTCCTATATGTGTGTGTGTGTATGAACACACACACACTACATATAAGAGATTATAATACATGTGTATATATGCATAGGATCACTGTAAATCATTTTATTAAAAAAAATAAATAAATAAATGTTAAATAAGAAGTTAATAAAGAAGAATATAAAAGAACATTACTTACCGTAAAAAATCACGAAGTGGGAAAATAAAAATTCAATTTAAACTTAATCATTTTTCAAATATGTGTTCCAAATATGCGAAATGTACATCCCAAGTTAGCGAAAAACATAATGTCAGTTCTATATATTCTCACTTTACCGACCTGCACGAAATATTGTACACTTTCCAGCAGCATTCCATACATCTTGGCACGATCACGAATTTTCGTTTTATTTGTCTAGGCAGTTCCTTAATTAAATCGCGGAAATATTCCGTATTCAGCGAATTTATGAAAGAGTTTCTTCGCGATCTTATAGCACATGCGGAGCAAAATATTTCGCATTGTCTTACAAAACTTGCTTCATCGCAATTACGACGTTTGGAAGACAAATGTTTCGCGCCATCGAATCTTAAGGCATGTGCCCAATGTCATCTGAATAATATGCCACCTCCTGTAACAGAGAAGAGAGGGAAGCCGTATGGCGCTCAGAAAATCTAGTTTCGACTGTAGCTTGAGAGTTACTCAACCCAGCGAGGATAAGTTGGAGAGATCAACGCGAAGCGTGCGCAGACTGTCTCTGTGTTCTGGAGGAGTTGACACCTGAATGTTTCGAGTTGAATAAATAAACGCTCAACTTTGTTCGGAAGAAAGCGTTGCAAGAAAAATTGATAAGAGAAAAGAAGATATCGTTCAGTTAGACAATATTATATTAATAAAAAGATAAATATAACTTCAATATATAAATTATATCAACAAGATTTATATATAAGTAGTAGTGATATAAAAAATAGTAACTCTAAAAATAGCTCTATATGAAACAAATATATATGATTTTGCAATATTAATTATTATATGATGGAATCAATCATAAAGTATATTTATCACAGAATAAAATATTAATATATTTTACGTAGTTAAAAATTTTGTTTAAATTTTTTAATATATATGTAGCATTAAAATATCGTTTGAACATTATTTCTTAATATTATTTTTTAAATATTTCTTATTATTATTATTTCTATATTATTATTTCTTAAATATATTTATACATTCAAAAAAATTAATATATTTCTTGATTTTTCTGTCTAAGAATTGTAATTAAATAAATCTTTCAAATTCATATGTTTTTACTATCAAGAAAATTCAGTTTTAATTACTTATCGATTAATGAAATTGTTTTTTTAAGATTGTTTAAATCTTTGAAGCATTTTTAAATCTCAGTTTTAGTTACATTTAAAAATAAAATCATATGTGATATTCAGATTTTTGTATTTATTATATTTTATTATATTTTAAGAAAAATATTTCAAGAAAAATAAAAACTCTGGACACACTTGTGCGATAGGTTTGTTACAAGAGAAATGGAATTTATTGACACATTACATATTGAACATCACAACGCTTCGGAAAAAGCGATGCGATAGCCAATCAATTTCCGATTCCGTACACATATCATTTTCGAAGAAGAAAGATTGACTAAATATCGATTTTGCGTGGTGTAAACAAATAAATTTTCCTTTTTTAACATTGAAAATGTCGATACAGACATCGATACAGATTCTGTTATATTAATTTTGATGCTGCATTATCTCTTGATAAGTCCAAGTTCTTGACCGTTTAGCGAAAGAATCGTTGCAAAACATCGTTCGCAGATGACGTCAAGCTATGTTTGTTTCAATTTCATCGCATTACTCCAGATTCTATCCGGCGATTATCAAGAGGAGTCTTGTACAGGCGTACAGAGAGAAGCGTCACGAATATTCTTACCACGTGCTGGCAAAAGGAATGCGGCGGTCAGGTCCTCATACAAAGAGATATATACGTGTATATGCACGTGTATATGTATATATACACTGTCGGTAAATTCATGCGCCGCTAGTCGACAGTGAAAACGTAAATATGGCCGCGGAAAGTAGCGACGGTTTGCCAATATCCCCGTCCGAGAAATCGCTCACCGGTAGCCTCGCATCTGATGAAAATGACAAAAGTGTCTCGCGTTCGCCGTCGAGTTATTCTATACGGGAGGACAAATGGCCGGATCTCGTCGTGTCTAGACCCAGAAAGCTGGACGCCTGGTGGTTGCCGAGACGTGAGTACATAGAACGTTAGGTGCTAGGTGCATGCTCCCACGATTCGGCGCGTTCTTCAAAAGTCCCCGCTCGCGGGCTTAGCCTGGCGCCCGCGTAATAAACGCGCGTAAACATACCGTGCGCGCACGTGTGTTTCTTTATTGAGGTCTGTTCTGTGCTAATTAGAGTCTGCAAATCATTGCGTAATTAAGTACATTTGAATATCTACATAATTATTATAATTGGATGTTTGTCATTCAAATTATAAACTGAATTGATCTTATTACAATGATAGTGGCAGAAAAGATTTCTCCTTCCTCGTGTATTATAAAATTGTACAATACATATGTTAGATGGAAAACATATAATATATGATACTATGCATTTATATATATATATTATTATTTGACAGATCTATAGAAGATTTTAATAGATTTAAAAAGTGAAGTTTTAATAATTTAGAGAAAACAAGAATTTCGAAATTTCTATGAGTATTTTGACTAGATTATTTGGATTTTATATAAGCAATAACAAGATCTATGATTATATTTATTTTAATTATATAAAAAATAGCAGAGCTATTTATAACATTCATAAACTATTAAATAAATAATGGTTATATAAGAAAAAAAAACTTATACGTATTATATTTATAATTTCATTCTTTAACACAAATATCTTTATTAATCTCATAAAATTTGTTTGTAACATTTTTTTAACATTAATAATTATAACAATAGTAACTTTTGCATATATCAATCTGCTCGCGTGCTGACTGATTCTGCAATTGTATCTCGAATGATAAACGTATTGTTACGAGAACAGTGATATACATATATCTATATCACATTGACAATTTTTGATATTGCGCAGTTGTTTGCTACATGATTATAACAAATCTAAATGAGAAAATAATTGAAATGTGACAAGCTGACAATAACACATTACTAAATTGTGTACAGTGATATTTTTAATGCTAGTTTTCCTGTAATTATGTGCGTGATTATTTGTGACATGGAAAGATATGAAATATTAAATTGTTTATAATGCTAAATTCTCAATAAAAATATAGGAACGACATATAGCTTTGCTTTTGTTCCAGGTTTGATTCAATGTGATAATGTAATTAATAAAAAAATAAAATTTAATTAAGAGAATGTTAAGATGCACATTTTACAGTGTTATTTATTTACACGATTGTATACAATTATATTAAAATATTTAAGACTTCTTTGTAATAATGAAATAAAATCGTGAAATATTGCTTGAAATATTTATTCTTTTACTATTTATTCTTTTACTATATTCACTTTTTTGCTTATAAAAATTCTTATGTATTGAATAAATCTAATTGCTAGCGTGTTTACGTTATTAATGTAATCCAAAGTCGCTGTCATATCGATAGAGTAATTCAGAAAGCTGGTGGCAGCACCATACAATACTGCGCAGTGGTATTCGTATTGATTATTGTAGGTGGAGACAAAGTCAGCGGGAAAATCAATATTATATGTCACTGGTGTTCTCGTTATTTCCGACGTGAAATTTTCCTCGCTCGACTCTAGTACGATTTTCACGTCATTTTTAACAGTACACAAATTCCTGATTATCTCTTATTTTGTGAGTAAATAATCGTGGAACTACAATGTAGTTTCATTAGTGTGAATCCATCGTTTCTACATCGGTTCTGCATCTTCAGCTGAGATTTTATTTGCTGTTTCTTCGATATCTACAGCGCAATCAATGAGAGAGAATCTGTCCTTATCAAGACAAATACATTTATCACTAATAATATTAAGAAAGGATGACTAAAGGATAACACTTGAAAAAATGACAAAAGAAGAGCAACAGTGGACGCAGATTTCTATCTTTCGTTGTTAAAAACGTAGAGCTTGATTGCAATATATCAACACTTATTGGTGACTCATTCATTGCGACATATTTTTTCATCAGCTGTTTGATGTAACGAGAAAAAAAGAAAATATATTATATAATATTGTGAACGAGTCTTGAATATTACACATAAACTAACTGAATATACAAGAGTATATATAAAAGAGATATATCAACAAATAAAAAATAAATCAACGCTCATTGTTCATTAATTATTGATGACTCGTAATTTTAATAACGTGAAAATCTATCTCTTCTGATAAATAGATTGTTTCCAAGCCAATCTACAGTCGAAAATTATCACTAAAAGAAAAAAAAGTTTATGCAAACCAAGAGCCTTCTTCCGTGCAAGTGAAACAATTATAGAAAGATATCGTGAACTCCAGAATTGAAATAGTGACAGTAGAGGAATCGTCTTCTATGCGGCAGGAATCCCTGACCAGTTTGAAATTGAGGCCACCGGGCGATCACGGTGGTGTACATCACGGCGGAGTCATGTTAGAGGAAGATATGGCTGGTGCTCAGGACACGATATATCTGTGCAATTTTCGAGTGTCGGTAGACGGCGAATGGCTCTGTCTGAAGGAGCTTCAGGATGTCGAGTTCTCGCTACAAGACTCGATGCAGCGGTCACCATCACCACCGCTTGCTCTTAGTGGTATTAATTATCATCATGATCATGATCATCATCATCATCATCAGCAACAGCTTCCCGAACAACGAGAGCTTTGCGATATTATACCACCAAGTCCACCGCCATTGCAGCACGTCTCCAGCTTGTGTCTGTACTCGATGTTGTTGCACTCATCGATTTTAATTGGATATCTTAAAAAAAAAAAAAAAAAAAAAAATATATATATATATATATATATATATATATGTATATTGATATTCAATTTATTTTTTTTTCTTTTTGTTTAGCAAAATGTAATTCATTGTTGAGATATTATACCGCGTACGAAATAAGTATTGCTTTTCCTGCTCACAACGAAGAAAAAAAATATTTCTATTTCTGTCTCACGCTTTCGTGTCATCGCTTTAAGCAGAATGCATTTTTCCAGCAGCGAAATTGTTATAAACTTGGCTTACGATTCCACATGTTACTATCTTTATTTAATTTTTATTTATTCTCGAAAAATACAAAAAAGATTAGTACATATTGCTATGCAATCATTCTAACATTATTTCAATAATATTACAGTTAATTAAAAGTATATTTATGATACTTACTATTGAATTTGAAGCCATTTTTCTAAATATTGACGTGGGAAATCAATTGAAATTATTACAAGTTAGAGCAGACACGTATTGTTTTTGCAGCACGGGATCCGGTGATCATCGAGAGGAGTAATCTCGTTAACATTTCAAAACTAATTGTTAAGGAACTGATCGAAACATCCTTGAAATATGGTCGTATGCTCGATTCTGATCACATGCCATTGCAACATTTTTTCATCGTTCTTGAACATGTGCTTAGGCATGGTTTACGGCCAAAGAAGGTAAAGCTTGCCATCGTGCGGACAACAGAATAAATTTTTCATATTGGTACTAATAGTCTCCGATTTCAGGGTCTTCTCGGACCCAAGAAGGAGCTGTGGGATATTCTCCAGCTCGTAGAGAAATATTGTCCCGAAGCACAAGATATTACATCCAGCATTCGTGATTTACCCACTGTTAGGTACTACATATTTCTACTTTAAAAATGTGATCTATATACATATTTATTTGATTGAATTTATCCATATATTATTCATATATTATAAATATATGATTAATTAATAATATATTTTTGATATTTGTATAATTGTAGTGACAAAGCAAAATACGTACAATGTTCTCATTTTCTTATTAAAAAAATAATGTTATCAAATAATAATCTTTTAGATCTTTTTTTAAGTCAAGTTTAAAAAAAAATTATTATTATTATTTTGACTATTTTTTTATCCTCGGCATTTAAATAAAATGTTTTATTTTTAAATTAACTAGAATTAATTTAAAATTACATCGGTAATTATTTTATTAAATATAGAATTTAATTATTAAATTAAAGTTTGTATTTTATCAATATTTTAGAAATCAGCAACCCTCGAGCATTAATCTTGAGATAGTACTTTGAAATCATTATTTTCAGAACGGCTATGGGTAGGGCGCGTGCTTGGCTGCGTATGGCATTAATGCAAAAGAAATTAGCAGATTATCTCAAAGTTCTGATAGATCACAAAGATGATATTTTATCTGAATATTTCGAACCAGATGCTCTGATGATGAGCGAGGAGGCAATCGTAGTGATGGGCCTGTTAGTTGGATTAAATGTGATCGATTGCAACTTTTGCGTAAAGGTCAGTCTGAATTAATGTCACGTTTTTTACATGCGTGTCTGAAATAGTATGTTTGTCCGGAATGATAAAATGCTAAGTCAAAATCGATCGTAACTATTGTGACAGGAAGAAGATCTGGATTGTCAGCAAGGCGTAATCGACTTTTCATTATATTTACGTAATAGTAATCATATACCTGGTGAATCTCCAGACGATGAACTCGAAAATGATAATATGACTACGGTACTTGATCAAAAGAATTATATCGAAGAGCTCAATCGACATCTAAAGTAAATACTTAATTTTCTGCAAATATTGAGCAAAAAGTTGCGCATATGTCTAAGTGTTATTTGCTCAAAATTGATTTTTCTGTCGATTTTAGCGCAACAGTAACGAATCTTCAAGCTAAAGTAGAATCTCTAACGACAACGAATGCTCTTATGAAAGAAGATCTCGCTATTGCTAAGAACAACATTTTATCAATTCAAGAAGAAAATAGACAATTAAAAAAGGAACTTGGTATAGAGGTTAAAGATGCAAACGAGGTATATATTAAACTTACGCGTTTTATGTATAGATTAGTTTGCTATTAAAATATTGATTTAATTTTAGAATGGAAAGGTACCTCTTAAAATAACGGAGACCACTGCGGAAATGGAAGAACTTAGAAGCAGATTAGAATCTGAAAAAAAATCTCGGCAAGATTTAGAGAAAGAATTGGAATTACAGGTTGATAAGAATCTACATCTTCTTTTTTACACTGATAACTGTCAATAAATTTTTAATAGAAGATTTTTATAAAAGATAATTTATAAAAGAAGATTTATAAAAAATATATTCAGTAAAGAAAAATAAAAGTATAAGATTTGATTAGATTTTTGTCTTTCTTTCATACAGATTAGCATGAAATCCGAAATGGAAGTAGCTATGAAGTTATTAGAAAAGGATATACATGAGAAGCAAGATACTATAATATCTTTAAGACGACAATTGGAGGATATAAAACTCATCAATTTGGAAATGTACAAAAAGCTGCAGGTGGTAATTTGCAACTATTCCTGAATAGTTTTCTAATTCCTGTGATATAGTATACTTATATTTATTATTTTAATTACTTTATTAAATCGAAACAATTACAATTTACGACTATACATTATTTCATATAATTATTTAATATATATATATATATATATATATATATTTCATTCATATATATGTATATATATTTCATTCATATATATATTTAATATATAATTATTAATAATTTCATTCATATATATATATATATATATGAATGAAATTATTAATAATTATATATTAAAATAATTATTATATATTTAATATATAATAATTATTTAATATATATATATATATATATATATTTCATTCATATATATATATATATATATATATATATGTATATGAATGAAAAGATACTAGACTAATATTTATAATATATATTAATCATTTCTTTTTCAATAAATTTATCTCTTCTTATTTTGTTAAATTGTTCATTTGACATGAAATTATTTTCTTTATACGATATATAAATAGATAATATAGACGAGTCTACTATATCACGGTTTTAATATAATATATCTATTTATATAATTATACTGCCTATAAAATTCTTAATCACTTTTTTTAAACAGCTAATTTCATAATTATAGCATAGAATCTCTTTCATGCCTTTCCGTGTTTTATCAATATTTTCATCAATAATTAATTAATATTTCAGCTACATGTCTGTTAGCGAATAAATTAAATTGCATCTTATATGCAAAATAAGTTATCACTGCATTAAATTTGCGTATTTGGATGTTTTTTTCCTATGTGTTGGGAATGATGGGAATTTTTATTTCGCCGGAATCTTTTCTAAGCGAAAGAATTTTACCAAGCATGTAAATTCCGTTTCTGGACATGTTTCCCTTGTAGGAGTGTGAACATGAGCTAACACAAAAAGGCGAGATGGTGAGCCGTCTTCACGCGAAGACCAATCAGATTGGCAAGATTCTTAACAACCTCGAGAAATATAATCATTTGATGAAGGATGGTGAAGGTATACGAAGTCCTACCACTCCAGGTGGTATTTCGAAATCTATTCTTAATAAGGCTAGTTCCATTTCTCCGAGAGGGTGCCCATCCGCGGATAATGCGATCGCTCGACCGACAATCGATCATCAACGCTCTTTTGACGAGCAATCATTGAAAGCATCTAATGACAAATTGAAACAGAGTCGTTCTACCTCGGAAATAACCACGAATAATTCAATAATCGAGCAAGTTGTGAAAGAATAAAGAGAGCCTATTCTTATATATTAATTCCATTAGAGGATGAGATCAAATATTGCGGCTATTCGGTGTTGCACATGAGGCGTACATTTTATATACGTACATTTACAGAATTGTGCAAAATTATTTTGTCAAGTTTCCAACTCATGTTTTTAATAGGATATTATTGTATACATTAATATTTATTCAGTGCAATGTTTGAAGATTTATCGACATTATTGTATAGACAAAGCAGGCATAATTATTATGATGTAACGAAATGATTTAGCAGATTACGCTTTTCTAAAATCGAGTGACTGAAGCTCGGTTTAATCCGATATAGACTGTTATGTTCAAGACAATAATTTTTTTGTAAAAGTTTTCACACTATTATAGTATTTCAACTGTATATTTACATATATTTTTACTGAAGCATTAATTGATTACAGTTTATGTGGTAAATAAGCAATCTTGATTACAGCATCTTGAGATGTGAAAAATATAATAATATATAATTAATCATGTATAATTTGCAGCGATGTGAGAAAAAGAGAATAACAATCATGCAACATTCAGTAAATTATTTTTATAATCTTATTATTTTAATAAACTTATTAAAATAATTTTTTATATGAAACAGAAATCAAATATATATATTTTTCCACAAAAAATAAATTTTAATAAATTTAAATAACGTCTATCACAATTCGTAATATTATAGACATAAGATAAACGGATTTATAACTCATATGAAATCTAATGAAACTCGCAAACATTTCGTTACATCATATCTTGTAAAATGTGATAAATTTTATGTATGTGACAAATATGATATTGCAAATTATAAAACAGATAATGTATACATCAACTTTATTTATAAATTCATATTACATGCCTAACTCATGGAAATAATTTTCAAATCAATATGCATTATTCCAGATTTATTTATAGACATTTGGTCAAATATAATCATCTTTTTCGCTTGTATTCAATAAATATTTATTTCAGGAGTGCGAAGGCTCACTTAAGCATAAGACAGAACTGATCACAAAGCTGGAAGCTAAAACACTGTCGATGACTGAGACCATCCAAAAAATGGATGAGAAGTATGTTTATTTGTCTTTCATTATTGTTAATTAATTTATAAGTGCGATTGAAATTATATACAGATTAAATTATTCGAGATTAAAAAGTAGAGAATGTCATCAGTATAATAATTACATACATCGAAAAAAGTTTCATGCTTCTTATTATCTTGTATTTCCATACAGAGGCATTAACTTTTTTCGCTAAGTAGCTTATCTAATCAACTTTATTAATATGAAAGTCGCATTGATAAGCTAGTTTTTTATTTAGTTATTGTAAATTTTTAATGAGAAATTTCCAGTAAGCTGAATGTAGCATCATAATTGCAATTAATTGAATTAATATTGCATTATTTAATAGCGTATTAATATTACAACGCGACACGTCTCCTAGAAAATAAATATGTAGGAATAATAAGATAATATTATAAAAAATTTGGCGAAAGTTCAGTTTTGCTCCATTTGCAGAATAATTGGTCCCATTTTTCTTGTAATAATTATTTTTTTATTATAGTATATATATATATATATATATATATATATATACATATATATACATATATAATATATATATATTATAGTAATATATATATATATATATATATATATATATTACTATTTGTTTTATGCATTTATTGTTCTTTCCAGTCATTGCACATTTAATCTATTAAAAAACCAAACAATACATTAAAACTACTTTTGATGTGTGCATATACATTATAAAATATTTCATGTATTGTCATTTTATTTGTATTTTATGAAAACCGTAAACTCTTTTGTTTTGATGAAGTTTTGTGCATAAAAAATGTAATTTTTAATTACATAGTTACACATATTTAGTTTAGCATGGCGAATATGAAAAGGGCTAATACTCATATTTGTTATATGTTTTGAAATTTTTGCTAAATCAGCTGTTATCAAATATTGTGCCGTTATTAGTATTATTTAAGGAAATGTTAGAATTGATATATGTAAGGATTTGGTAATCCTTTTCCATTGAACTTTTCGAATAGTGTTACTATTTTTGAAAAAGGATTACAGATATCTCCATATGTTGCGGAACTATTTTAGCAGGCATTATTTACGTACAAATATAATTGTTATGATAAGATTTTTCTATCAAACTATCGCTATACGATATTCTAATATGATAGCGAAAAACGGTCGTACCAATAATTACACAATGCACGCACGCCGATAATTGGGCTGCTCTAGCTAGAAATTATTTATTTTTTACTTAGATGTTGCGAATACGATCAGATTTAGATAGGATAGATTAGAGAAACGAGCGAAGGATATTAAATAAACTCTTATCGTCACACGGGGATATTGGCAAACCTTCACTAAATGGCTACTTTATATAAATAATTGTATTGGAACATAGTTGTTAATATTATGTCGAAGCATATTTTAAAGTCTTTCGCAATAATCAATAAATTTATACATTATGAGATATAATTATATCAATAAAATAAATCAATGCTATCACGATACGGAAGCTTAATATTATCGAGTATTTATTAGTCATTGAATCTCATGTCAATCATTTCTTTATATTTATAATACAGAACAAAAGTAAGTTTCTTATTATCATTGTGCTCATATTATTTAAGAAAAGAATATAAATCATATTTGTGTTTCTAAATTAAAACATTTGTTTCACTGGCATTTAAGGAACTAATCATTTGTGATCTGCAATCATTCTTGTCGCCGAATTGTGTTCTTTTTCAATTAATTTATTGATTTTATGTTTATATATGACAATGGCGCCTCGAATAAATTAAATTATCACATTATCAACATTTGTAATTGATACATCCTCATATAAGACACTTTTCGAAATAATAGTTATTTTCTTGTCAAAAATAAGAAAAATATTTAGTAGTGATTAATTAAATGTGCCATATCCATGTATTAATGATACAATTAAGTATTCATATAAGCCTCGCGCAGATATCGACATTATACGTATTCTAACACTGCGTGTGCTTGTGTACCGACGCTACGAAAATAAATTCATAATAGAAAAAAATATGCGGTTTGTTTATTTTAAAATCATTGTACATTAGACATAAGATGCCACGATTTGAAAGTGGAGAGAATTTTTATTAACTTGTCTTTTTAATATACGAAATGTCTTATAATTGCCGAATAAAAAATTTCTTTTATTGACTTTTGGATAATAACTATTAATATATAATAATTTTGTAAGGTAAGTTATATATCCATAACATTACCAACAAATTAAAAAATAAATAGATAAATATAAATGACTTTATCGTTTTGTTAAATATATTTATTTATTAAAAGAATATGAAAATAAATATATCTATCTCTTATTTTTTCATACTTCGAATAATGTTATATGTTACTTATAATTCTATAAGTAATATTAGTCCCAAGCGCGTAAATATTTTTGGATTGGCACTCTTGCAATAATATTTTCATAATATTTCATCATTTTCACAATACGAAAGCATGTTAATATTTTTTGTGTTTGAATTCATATTTTATATAAAAGGATGAAGCCATTTTATGTATATGATAATTATTAATTTGTAAATTTTTATATTATTTTTACATTATGATCGCAATACAGTTCCTTAAATGCGATAAATACCTTTTTCCTGATAAGTATATTTTTATTTACTTACGACGGTATTTATTTACGACGTAGCATTGATCAATTTCAAAATAAATGCGCAATGATTTTGAATTAAATATATAATATGGAAATATTATCTTGTGTGTTAATAAATAAATATGAACAGTAAGTCATATAAATTAGAACCAATTCCATAATAAAAATAAAGAATTTATGCGAGATTATCAACATCATTTGATAGTTTAATATTGAATGAACAAAATGATTATTTTAGATGTACATCATGCGTCATTACATTTATTGTCAGATCTATTTGAAATCCTAATATAATTTTAGAGTAAAGTATGCGTTAAAAATTGTTGAATCAATTGAACAAAATGACTTTTGACGATATGGACGAGAATTTTATATCTTCAACGTTTAAGTATCATTGATTTGACTTAATCAGGTGCAAGGAGATGGATGGTGTCAAGTCGGGGGCGGAGGAGAGGGTGAGAATCCTGGGCGCTGAGGCTGCTGAACGGGAAGCACGGACGAATGGGGTCGAGAGGGAATTGCGACTGGAGCGCGAATGGAGAACCTCCTTACAGGAAACATCGATCTCTAACACGGAGAAGATCTCTCAATTACATCAGGAGATCGATCAGTTGAAACGGGTGTCCGAGGTACATGCGTGCGATCAGTATTGCCTTTTAAGGATACCTCGGCGAATAAATCTCACAGTTACATTATCGCGTCGTCGTACTTGTAAGTTCAGAGAAAGGGGAGCTTTGTAGAGACGCGCGACGATTCGATCTTTCTATTTAAATCCTATTCCGAAACCTGCCAGCATGGATTATAAGCCTGCATCTAATTCAATCGTCGAAACGTTATCGTGATTTATTCGTTTCTCAATTATAGAACTGACAGTAAGAACCGCGATGGTGCATTGCTGTCCTGAAATAGATTAATGAAATTTATTTTATTGATTTACAGAAGGTTTTTTTTATTTTTGCATTCCTAAAATGTATCATATTCACTATTTAGCTTTATTGGACAAAAATAATTTAATCATAATTAAATTCTGATTTTGAGGTACAAAATCCATCGAAAGCATTCAAATATAATGACACGTTTAATGTATGAAGTATAAAAATATATCACGTTCGACAGCTTAAAAGATGAAATCAGAGAACTAACAAAGCTATTATAAAATAAAATGCAAGTTATTTAGATGTTTGAGGGATGAAAAAACATGTAAAAAAATGAATGAAAAAAGTGTGAAAAATAATTTATAAAATCGATATAAAGAAAAAACATATACACCAGCCTTATAAATAGTTAAATCAGAATTTAGATTATATATGTGAAAGCGTTCTTCGTGTATATATATATATATATTAAATATCAATTTTAATTAATATCAAATCAATAGAAATTATTAGGTAATAATATAATTTTGCGAGTTACATTTACACGTCGCAAAATTTCGTAACCAAGTATTGATCTGCCTTTAATCGCGATAACGAACGGACGAGTAAATACATGCGCCGGATAATCGCAACTAGGTATCCCGTTGTTCCAGAGATACTTGACGCTACAAGAGGAGTATTACGCGTTGAAGGAGGTGTGCAGCGAGCAGGAACGAACTCTGGAGGAACTTGGGGGACAATTGAGCGCGGCCAAATTAGCGGCGGTCGAACTGCGCGAGGCCGCTGACAACGCTCAACAGCAGCAGCAGTCGGCTTTGCAAGAGGGCTCGGTAACATGGGCGAACGATCGGCTGGTCACCCAATGCAAGGGGTGCAGCCGTGAGTTCAACATGACTCGTCGCAAGGTAATCAAACTTTTTAATTGCTCCCACGCCTTCGTAACTCATCCCTCTCTCTCTCTCTTTCTTCTTCCTCTCTAGTTTCCATCGCAATCCCGGTTTCTTCGGCTCCTTCGCGAACCTTAACCACCCTCTTGTGCCTCTCTTCCTGCCTTACTCTTTCCTGCCCACCCTATCTATCCGAGGAACTGGATTCGCGCGGAGAGCTCGGCTGAAAGCGCGGCGTACCGTACGTAATTGTTCAATTATCCCCGCCGTTCTGGAAATTACTGCTTTCCCCGACGCGGATTTCCCGACCGTATCGGAGCCCACGGGGGAGACAAGACGAATCGCGCATTAAATGACCACGGTCGATCGGCCCGTGACGGGGCAGACCCCGTCGGCATCTCAGGGATACACCTACCCTCGGCGAAGAATCTTGATGGTGCGCGACCTGCGCGCTCGTCAGGTCGTCAGGATCTCGAGATCGGAATCGCTCCTCGCGCGCAACAACTTTGATGCACGACAGTCGTATTATTAGAGATAGCGGGCTATCGCGCGTTGCTCGGGCTAGCAATTACACTTAAAGGCTTTCGTTTACCTAACTTCCCCCTTTATTAAATCGCGATAGGCCGTAATGAGGGCCGGAATTTGCAGATAGATAAGAGTCGGTTGAGGGATTAGCAGCTTAAACAAGTTCTCGAGCGTGTTAAGCACTGCGCCGCGCGTCCGTAACGCTTTTTAATTCGCTCATTAGCGAGACGTGTCGCGTTACACGGCAAAGGCGGCGATTCCCCACGGATCCTCCACCAAGCTCGGAAAAAGCTCGCGATCCGCTTTCACACATTTTTCGAACGCGAATCACGCGCCGGCACGATATAAGCGCTTAAAGTATTCGCAAAGATCTGATCGTTCCGTTCGTTGCGGTTGCGTGCATCGATAAGGGAAGCGCGGCGCGCCAACGGCGAGCGTATTCGTGCATTCGTCATACGGATAAATTCCGTGGTGGAATTTATGTGCTCGTCAGGACTTTATCGAAATTTTGCGGACATGCGCGATAAATACGGTTCACCGGAGCTTGTCGACGTTGCGCTAATCGTTGATTAGCGGGTTGATTCTCCGCGGCCGTAAAGCTCCGAAATAATCGAATCGTCGCATGCAATTTGACGTTTCTGTCAACGGCGCGACTATTAATCTTGCGTGTGTCTATGACTTTGTCAGCTATGCTGGCTGTCGCTATGAAAAAAAATCTTCGTTTAGCCTTAATCGTTCGGTGGGACATTGCATTTGTCAAATAATGCGGTTTTTGCTATCTTTTACGGGACATCCTTTTACACTTATTACATCCGACATACATTCATGATTACGCGTTATATATGCATCGTTCGCATGCATATTCAGTCGACGATGTGATAGAGACGTCTGCTCGTCCCATAAAATACATTAGACTCCATTCTCTCTTTGCTTTATGTAGCCGACGGTTCGAAGAATACATAGCGCGCGCACGTTGGGACGAAGAGGGTTGAAAGGAAGGCGCAGGAAAGGGTGGTAAGTTATTGCATAATAACAAGGCAGTGCTCGGGTATCCTTGTTACTCATTTTTCGCCCCGTAGGTGTATTACCATACTGTTTAATATAGAATAGGCCACCCGTGGCACGACCAGATGTGTGAGTGGAATCGTGCCAGTGGGCAAGCAACCCCGTTGGCAAACGCGCAACGAAGAAGGCTCGCATTGTATAAGAGAAGGCCTTCAGATGCGGGCATATTTGTTAAAAAAATGCCGGCCGGCCGCAAACCTTCGTAGTAGCAATATGCAAAAGCAGGCAAAACAATAATTTCCCTTCCATAACCGCCCGGCTCGATTGATCACGTTGCGAGACGCTAAATTCATGCCGGGTTTTCTAAATATACACGCTATACTAACAATCGCTTTATACGTGCGCTTGACACAGTTAGCAAGGATTGTGGATATTTTGAATCCGCGATGATGTTAACGAGCGGCGTAAAACTTTTCTTGTACCTATATTTTATGCATCGCTGAGCGCTTTGATTCGTTCCCAGTAACAGCAAATTGCAACAGCCAAGTTACATTCTGCATCTGATAACTGCATGTAAAAATTTTCCAATAGATGGAATTAGTTCGAATCAGTAGTTTAATCCGTAAAACACGGATGGCAATTTGTATCTACAATCAAGGTAATATGATATATTCCGAGTCAAAAATTATTAAGGTTTTTCCTCGTGAAGCAAATTTTCTTCCCCACTTGCTTGCCGTATATCCTATAGAAACAAAAAATACTTATTAGAAAATATCATGGGATTATATTACGTAAGATAGCAACGACGCATTTGCGATATTGGATTGTCATAAGCAATATCGAGTCGTGCGCAGATGCTGATAAGTGAATACCGTTCATCGTCGCCGTCACGTGCATAGATGTGGCAATAAAATGGTATCGAATGCAGTAAAAATATTCCCAAAAATATTTCGTGTTGCGTAAATTTGAAGGAAATTAACGAACATATTTTAAATATTTAAAAAATCTGAATATTTTGAAAATACATTATTTTCTTTGGGTGCTAAAAATATTATTCTTTTTATTTTATTCTAAAATAAATTATAGCATATTTATGATAATACTATCATTTATGATGATGCTATCATTTTAAACCTTAACGTAGTACTTTTATTTTCAAAATATTTGGATAAGAAAATTTGCTTGAAATATGTTAACAATCAAATACATTACATTAGAATGATTATGCTCGAAACTAATGAATAACTATAATCGCAAGATGAAAAATAAGATTTTAGTTCGCTTTTTCATCTGCGAAAATAAATAAGAGCGCGCAATAGCATTTGCGTTCTTCTTAACTCTAGAAACGAAAACTCATTTCCCTGCTCATGCGATTGCATAAAAGTGAGTTTGCTTGTCTGCCCGATGTTATGCGCTACAAAGGCAAAGACCGCGAGATCGTCTCCTCGATGGTTTACCAGACTTTCGCGTCCGCACCAAAGTGAGTCATCTTCCATGGAATAATTTATAGATCGCTATGGCTGATCATTCGCCCGACAGTATCTCTCGGATCTGATCTTAGACTGATTTATTCGTCTTGGAAAGTATCTATAAGTAGGTATCTATCACGGTTAAGATAAGGCGTGTGCTTGAGACACACCGGTACGTAGTTGCAGGCACCAATCTACTACGTCCCGGTCGTAAGTCATGCTGATGGGACGGTTCAATAATTAACTTCGCGAAGGAAATCGGTTATCGGGACGATATTATTCGGGCTCTTACTTTCCGGTAATAACCGGGCAACCGCTCCTTCGCACGCCCACATCGTCTCACGCTAAGAAGGGAACGACGATTCGGCCGTCTCACACTTAAGGGATTCAATTTAGATGTAAAATTTAGAATCGTAGTCGCGCACTTCGGTTCCGCCGTTATTTCTCTTTTGGCTTTTAGTACGAATACCACATTATTATAATGGACGGGCGGTAATGGCTCGAAAATGAAGACCACCCGGTAATGGGGAAACGGGGCGCAGACGGGGGGCGCAAAATAAACACAAAGATAGAACACGCCGCGTTTTGCCTCCCATCGCGACTTGGAAATCTATCTGAATTGTACGCGCGATGAATCGATGATAAATTCTCTACGCTTATTTTAGATGAGAGTTGCGTTTTCGAAACATTGAGAGAGAATTGAATGATACAAAATTAGTACTGACAAAACAGAACACACACTGTATTTGTTTGCAACTAGTATCTCTCTGCATTTCGTTTTTAGTATTCATGACTCAGAGGAAGTGCAATGCTTCTACAAAATTGATACGCAATCTCGTCATTATCCTCGTTGTTTCTCATCTGCTGAAGTCACTTTCCAGTTTGCTAGTCAGTCCTGTTTCGTGTCCGTCTATGCTTCAACAATCTAACGACCTTCACATGGAAATGACCTATGCAAGAAATATCGCAAAAAAGTATTAAGCGCTCTCTTACCTGAAGTTGACGCGCGGACAATAGTATTCCTGGCGTTAAGTGCAAAAAGTTCCGGCCGTTGTCCGCGTGCCAGCTTCAGGTACGGGCATGCACTTTTTTTTTACCTACAATGAACACACGTAATCCGTAACTGCGAACTACGTTACAAAGCTTTTTACTTTTCAGCATATAGAACTGAGACAAACTCATCGCTTCATGTGTCGCGAAGTTATTATTGGTTTGGACATTTCGGTTAAAATCCTAAAATGTAGTTCTATTTAAAATTATTTGAAATGTATTACGTGACATTTCCAAGCAATGAGTTTAACTTTAACAGTTTTTGTTTCTTAATAAAATTTCCAATAAGTTACACTAAATATCATTTGCATTGTCTTATAACTGGATTTTAAAACAAAATTAGATATATAATGTACTAATCAATTTACTTTTCAAACACTTTAAGTATGAATTTATACATATTTTGAGAGAATATATGTGTATGTGTAATATGTCCTATTTCTTTATTTCATTTGCTATTTCACTTTATGAAATAAATTGGAAATTCAATAATTATTGCTGTGCTTTTTTAAGTAAGATCTAAAATAAAAACAGCATTAGCTTATATATTGTCTTATACTATATAAGCCAATCTTAGTTATTTATATTATAGTTATTTATATTATTGTTACTTATAGTTATTTATATATTTATATATTTATTTATATATTTATAATTTAATTTTTTTATTTAATTAAAATAATGAAGAAAAGTATATAAAGGAAATAATTTATATCATTTATATAAATTTATATAAATATATATAAATATAATTATGTAAATATATATAAATATATATAAATTTATATAATTTAGATAAAGAATATAGAAAAATAATTTATATAATTTAAAGAATATATAAAAAATATTTTATAAACATGAATATTTTCTACATATATAATTTTATATTTTTATTTCTCTTATATCTTAATATATTTTTAATATTCTTAAATAAAAGAAGTAATTTTTTTGCTATTCTATTGTCAATTTTATATTTTTAATTTTATATAGCGATAATCAATACTATTTTTTTACATTTTAAATGCTATAAAAATGCATTTGGTCTAAATCATATTGAAACTACAGTAAAAAAATATTAAAGTATATAAAACTATATTATATATGCCTATATGATATTTAATATTACTAAATGTGTCAAAATATATATATATATATATATATATATATATATATATGTCTTATTATATGTTTCGTATAAACGAATACGTTAAGATATTAATTATATAAACTAATGATTATTATTAGAATATTATTTTTATAAGTTGTATAAAAATAATATATAAACATACTATATTTGTAGTATATATCAGATTTTTTATAACAAAATACATAATTAATAATTATTTTCTCATTGATAAAGACAAATTTAATAATTAAAACAATATAATAATAGATGTTTACGTATATTATTTCTGTTACAGCACCATTGTCGCAATTGTGGGAATATTTTCTGTAATGCATGCAGTGACAATACTACAGTCTTGCCGAACTCAGCGAAACCAGTGCGCGTTTGTGACGAATGTTACGTACTTCTCGTTAGCCGTGATTCGGTGATGCGTTAATACTCTACGTACTATTGTTCTTTCTCGTAAGCAAGTTGTATACCAGAGATTTCAGTCCAATGCGCAGTCTCGAAAAAAAATTCAAACAAAAAATAGAATGAGGAAAGATAACAAAATCTGTCCGAAAATGTAGTCCGCAAATGTTTGTACATGTTTTTTTTTACGGTACGTTATGCGTAACCATTTAAATTGGACGTACGTGATGATGGACATACCAATTTGCCGTGAGCAATATTTTGTTTCATGTTAAACTATTTTATTTTTTTTATAAAAACACTCGTGATATTTTAAAATTTATACGATTGGGGTTAAAAAAGCATTTAATTTATTAAATTTTATTACTGCAACATAATATCTAATAATATGTTTTTATAAATGACTGATAAATATATACATATATGTATATGCAGTCGCTAGAATTTATTTTTTTCAATGCTTTCAAATATTTTATTTTGTTACAGAATAGTTACGATTATTTCTGACTGACAATGTCGTATTTAAAATGGTTAGATTGTAAATGTTTATGAGAATTTAATGTTGCACCTTGCTTCTAGTACCGTTTCGATAGTAGTTGCATATGATATGCTCAGCTTGAGCAAGATAAGATACAGCGATGTGATCATAACTCAGAATCGATTAGTAAAGTATTTTGAAACTGCAGCTTTGCTTGCGCTGCAGTGTCCAAACGCGTGCCTGTACAACGATATTTTTAAGATGTTCTATACCGTCTGAAAGAGATATTATACATATAATACATACATATATATATATATATATATATATATATATATATATATCTATATACATATAAATAAATGAAATGGTTTTTTAAATTGTATATGTTTTACTATTTATTCTATTTCTTTAATTTTATACGAGTGCTAAAATTAAACAGGAACATATTTATTAGAATATTTCAAAAAAGAGATGCACATATATATTATTTTGTTATCTTTTATAAAAAGTGCTTATGCAAATCTACTACTGTGTTATATAGTTTTCTTGAAATGAGAATAAAATTATACCGCGCGCGCAAACAGCTTGTATCTTTAACGATCTTATGAAAGTACATTGTAGATGATTGATCCAATAATTAATTAAAATTATAGTAACTTTCTAATTATAATTTAACAAGTAATTGTAGTAATGTGTGAAATGACTGTAAATTTCTTTTTTAGAAACTATAAAAAAATTTTATTTTTTTAATTAAAAACTTGTATCTTTAGATGTATCGGAACTTATTATCAGATTAATTTGTAACTTTTATATACTGTTAAAAATTCCTTGAACATTTATAATCTTACTTACACATATATAAACGATTTATTGATTAAAGCAATGTAATATTTGAGATTCACTCTTGTACTTAAATTCTATTATAGTGGCATCGATTTTTCAGGGAAAATTAACGAAAAAGAGAAGCGGGAATAGCTTCTTTTCTTGCATGAAAGCGATTTAAAAGAGAGAAAGTGGTGGCCATAATGTGTAATCTACCTGCCGAACGTAAATCCGTTCCTCAGGTGCGCGTACCCGCTCTTTCTAATCTTAACAACGAGAACCACACGCCATCCCGTCTACTTCTCTCTGTCGTTGGAAAAGCAGTAAAACAGTCCACGGCCGCCCTCCATCGCGCACGCCGTTCTTATCCTTTCTAGACGTTAACAATGCCTGCCTACCTACCACCATGATCGCGAGCACCGCGTGAACCTGCCACGTGAAGCCGTCACGTGCGTGTGTCTGTGCGCATGTAACGATCTACAAGGTACAAGGGGGTTAAAGGGGGTGTCGTGTTACATGTATGCTCGCGGTACTCGCGCTGCCTGACTGCGGTAAGTTCTGGCGGGTGGTTGCGAGTCCCGGCGAGACTGCCCCCGTAGGCCAACTTGTCGGATATCTACGACTTTCGAAAGCTCGTTAGCCGCGAGCGTGCACGCTTAAACGGCCGCTAAATTGAAATCGATCCCTGGCCGCCCCGCATCGATCTGGCATGCGGCCTCGACGATTGGCGCGAATATCCGCTTCCATCTGCGCTCGCTCTGTGAACGTGCACCTCGCACGGAGTACCTAGTACAAGTATGCACGCGACAATTGTGTTCGAATGAGTTTGGTTGGCATTCGTTATAATCTGGTTCACCAGAATCATCAGAAGGGAAACGAGCTCAAGCAGAAAATCGAATATTGTAATAATATTTAAATGCGCACACAGACATTTGCTGATTACGAGAATAAAATTTTAGATTAAGTTTAAATGTTAAGTTTAAAATGAAATTACATATTTAGGACGCTTGTGAAATTGATAATCCTTGTATTATTTTCGTTATATAATGTTATACAAAATTTCAGACATAGTTAAATGAAAATAATATTTTATTTACGATATGAATTGGCTAAAAAAATTTTTTCGCAGAATATTTTCATAAACTTTAGATTACTAACTATCCATTTCGAAATGATGAGTCAGTGTAAGTACGATCATGCAAATAAAATAATGCACTGCTATGGGGCTTTAATGATGGTATAGCGTGTCTCACGAGTCGTGGAACGCGGTGCCAAGATCATGAAGGTAAAGTTGCTTTTACAGTAGAATCACTGACACGCGAAGTGGCTTGGTCGCACATTCTTATATTGCATGCCGTCGCAACAATTGATTGGCTCCTCATCTTTCGCGATACGAAGTCAACACGTAGCAACACAGTCGTGACACAGAGCTTATGGATGTTTACATTAGATCTTTGATATGCCGGGCAAATATCCTGAATTATGATGTTATAAGAGAACTGCGTGGTATACGCTAATAATTCTCGCATTTCATATCCATGTGAATAACTTTTTCTCGCGCAAATTATGCTATCGATACTTCTTTAGTTTCAGGCAGTTCTGGCAAATTGATTATTTCAGGTTGTTAAGTATGCGAATAAAATATTTCTTTAGTCTACATTGAAAAATAGAATCAGAAAAGGGAGTTTCACGGTGCATCCATATCTGCAGCAATCGCATGCATGTAATAAGCGAAAACAATTGTACGTAATGGCGCTGAACCGGAGGTGCGATTCCATCAAGTGGCACGCGTGCTGAAAATAGTATCCGCAGCGAGCATGAATTATCACGCGAGCTACTTCCATTGCAATTCTTCAAGGAACAAATCGTTGATAGGGATTGCACTATTTCACTTTGTGCTGCAGATGTGTCTTCTCTGATTTCAGTGTTTATTTACTGTATATTTAGCGTCTTTATGTGTGTATGTGTGTGGATTGATCTTTTTCTCTCCGTTTTCGTGAAAGATAAAATGCTACACTTATACATATATATATATATATATATATATATATATATATATATATTTAAGTATGCAAAGATAGACATGTAGAAACAAAATTTTCCACTATCGAAGGGACTTTTCCGGCCCGAGCATGTATCACAAGCTATTTCGAAAAAAATAGTGACAATAAAACTATATGAAAAAAGCAATATTGTGTACGTATCACGCTAGGGGTGGTAAAGTGGACAATTCGCTGATGCATCGAAGCGTAGAAAGTTACGGAGAGTAGTAAAAACAAATAATTGTTTTCCGTTCATCGATAAACTGCTTTGTTTTATCGATAGTTGCTTTGTATTTATTCTGTGACAGTATTTTAAAAATTTCATAATACATAATTCTTTACATTTACATATATATAAATATCAATCAATCACTCAATCTTATCTCAATCATATCTTTCCTGAATTTATAAATTGCTATTTCAGGATGTATAAATATAACTCTTATTTATTTAGATAAGAAAAAATTTTCCAATGCTATATAAATATTAAAAATAAAATGGATGTATCATAAACAATATCTCATATAGCAATAACAATTTTAATTGTTTACTTGTTAAAATGGACATATTTTTAAATCTCTGCATCAAATATAAAAATTTCAAAGATCATATCAACCGAGAAATTATGGTCATTTTATTTAGCAGAAAATTTGAAATTAATATTTTTGTACTTATATAAAAAGCTTTATAAAATTTTGATACACTTCTTTATTCCTTTTCTTCACTTTAGAAATATGTTTTATACAACCTAAATATATGTATATGATAGCAATCTCTATGCATATATTTATTCATTTTATTTATAATACACTCTATAATTATTATTTTTATTTATTGGTTTCATTATATAATATAAAATTTAGATAATTAATTTCGTAAGTAGGAATAATATCAATTTTATGATAAATAAAATAATAAAATGTACTATTAACTACTAAATATGTTATTAAAAAAAATTTTTAATTTAAGTGATAAACAAGAGAGAAAGAGAGAGACGGGGGAGAGAGAAAAAGAAAGAGATTAAATTACAATAAATCTATTGCTAATAAATATTTTATTGAAATAATTATTGAATTTTGTTGAATTTGTATAAAGTTTATTATGTTATCACAAAAAAAATATAAAAATCTTAAACGTAAAATTTTTAATAAACAACTTTGCATATATAGATAATTTAATTAACTTTTAAATATGATTAATTTGCAATACAAAGGCAAGTAGGAGGTAAATATAAAATTCAGAATAAAGTAATATTTATGTCAAAATTATGTTTTAACTTTATACATAATACATTAAACAAACTTATATTATGATGATTGCACATAAGTGAATCCGAATATTATTATTTTTTTTCAATGAATATCGTATATCTTTGATAGAAGAAAAATTGACAATGTATTTATTATGTTAAATATTTGATTAGAAATGACATATTTTAATATGTGATTGTAAATTAATCGATTGATATCAATCGTTGCTAATATTATTATATCCTTCTAGAATAATTAGTATCATTCATCATTATAAGCAATAATTATAAACATTAATATAAACACATTCTGTTATATACTTTTATAATTATAAAATGTGAAGAGAGAGTATAATAAAAAGTAAAATTATATGAAATATATAGTATACTAAATATATGTGAAGATTCTCTCTCAATTAGTAAAGAAACACATATCGGAAATGATAAAAGTTTCATAATTAAAATTTGATTCGTATAAAATAAGTATCAAGATGATTTAAAATTCGTCTGTTCTGAACAAGAAACAGATGTGAAACAAAATAAGATCATTAGAACGATTACAATCTAACAATGTAATTATTGCGAAAGTAATTACCATGCGAACTTGCTCGTTCTCAACTTTTTCGATAGATGTATTTGTTAATTAGAATGAAAGTAGACTATATACAATTGGGGACAAGATTTATTTCTTGCGTATATTCCTACATAAATTAAGAGAGAATTCAATATTAATCGCAAATGCGATCTTTATTTTATATAGCTGACATCATTTTATGTAAAATATTTGGATTAAAAAGAATCTAAAATAAAAATATATAACTAGTTTTATATTATCTATAAAAACTATTCTTATATAATAATTCCGTACAAGAATTATAAATTTCTTTGTTATACAGAGAGAAAGAGAAAAAAAAGGGAAAAAACGGGGGAGGGGGAGGAGAGAGAGAGAGAGAGAGAGAGAGAGAGAGAGAGAGAGAGAGAGAGAGAGAACATAAATACATTATGTACACTGTTGTGTGTGCGCGCGTTTATCTTGTTGTCATTCGTGCTACGAGGCTCAAGCGAATAGCGTTATCCTCATAATACGATCGCAACAGGTGCTAGGAGATGCCAAACACAACGATTTGTAACGATTATTATAATTAAGAATTAATAACTCGTAAGCACGAAACGAATTTTATCGATATGAGTATTTCGAATAATTTATTTGCATAAAACAAAAAAATTAAAGCAATAGAAATTGAAAATTAGAAATTATTATTTTATTGCTATAATGATAAATTATTTCTTTTATGATTCTTGATTTAAAAAATATTTTGCATAGCGTTTTAAATTTTTCACAGATTTAATTATACAATCCATCCGTTGTTTTTGGATCGAGAGATCATAATAATACATGAAGTATTTATTGCATCGTCTTATTGTCATCCTGTTGTGCGGAGAAATTCAAACACATGACTACGTGATACATATTGTTGCATTACTTTTCAAAATGCGATTGCGAAAAATATGAGAAACATTAAAAAGTATCCTTATGATTATTAGGATTAGCAATTATTAACCTGTATGACTGATTAATTTTACGATTAATAATGCATCAAAACTATTTAGTAAATAAAAATTATATAAAAAATTACATTAAATATGTAAAAAATTACATTCTTTGCGGGATTTATTAATTTGAAATAAAAAATAATAATTGTAACATATTTTATTGCAATATTTACGGATAATAATTCTTTGTCTACTCTGATTTTTAAAATACTTTTCATCGTGCTTTACATTTTTCCCAGTTTTAAATATACAATTTGACCATTATTTTTAGAATAGCTCGTAATACACCAATGATAAAGCCAAATAATTCAAATAATATAAAATTGTGATATCAAATGTTTATTAATAATACATTTCGAGAACAGGTAAAATATTCTGATAAATTTATCTTTTACATTCTATTGAATATTTTGGTAGTGGAAATCAATGATTACACAGTGTCAGGTCTCGCGCGTACTACTATTTACATACGTCATCTTGGTGTCATTCAAGCGGGGTCATTCGGGCAAAGAAGCAGTCAGTTGCTTAGTGCGTGTCGTCGTGTTAACTTGAAACGTTATCATTCTCTAGAATTATTACAATTAATGATTATCTACAAATTTCTTTATTTTTAATTACAATTTATGGCTTTCTTTATTTATACTACAACGCGAAATAGTAAAATTGCCTAAAATTCGAATGTATAAAATTGTATAAAATGCTAATAAGTTGTTACAAAAGTGGTGTCGCGGTAGCGAATGTCGCTTAAGGTCGCGCGATTTTCTAGTATTGAATAGATCGCCAGTTTTCGTGTTGTTCTTTCGCGTTTCTCTCACGTAATATAGGTACATAATAAAGTGTAATATGCATAATGCGCGTCGCGTGTGATTAACGTCGAGAGCGCCGTGCAAAGTGTCGCACGATCGTTGTGTTTTGCTGATTAGTGCGCGCGTAATCGTAATTAACATTATTTTCGCGAGTGTTGTGAGTGAGCTGTAAAGGAGAACAAGACAAAAGGAAGAAGCTACCCGAGAAGACGTCAGAAGACGGTAAAGCAACTTCTAGAGGGTAAGCAATTCATAATTTATTTAATTTGTTTATTGTTTGTAACATTAATTGCTAATTTATCTCCGCGAGAGTATACATGATATGCATTTTAGGTTATTATGCGTGTAAAATATTTTATATGTTATTTTATTTTATATGTTATTTAAAATACTCTTGAAATTATTTATAATTGTGAATTTTTTTCAATAATTCTTAATTTTTAATATACCTCGCAGGGCCTTAAATTTTTTACGGATTTAATTCGCTCGTGTAATTTTTGAATCCAGAGAGCACGTAGCAATATACAAATCGCTGAATCGAATGATTTAAATAAAAAGCCATGATATATAGACTATTTATTAATAATACATTTATTTCGCGAGTTTTACATGTTGAAAATACATCGCTCGCAATTTTAAATTTCCCGTATCGTATATTTTCATCGCATATTATTCATGTATCTCTAAAAAAATTTTTTATGATTCGCGAAGAAGCCTCTCAATATCATTTAAATTTCATTGAGAGAGGTATTAATGTGGGAACTTCTATGAATAATTTTTTTACGTAATACACGCACTTCGTGAAATTACATTGTGAATTTCTCTTTTTCCCAAAATGTACTCGCTAAGCACACGCTTTTGCACGTGTTTACTTTCGAATTGCTCCTGATAAACAAATATCCGATCCCCTAGTACCCTGAGGATAATCCCTCGGACAAGAAAGTCGCGGAACGCGTGGAACGTGGTAACACGCAGGCGCCCGCGTGGTTGGCGGCAAAGTGGACCGGTACGCGTCGCGACGCCCGGCGTTTACTCGTCAGTTGACGTAACCGCGTCGTCGACGTAACAATATGCTCCACGCTCTCGCGATCCCGGTGTTCTGCATCGCGACATGGGTAACCGCGCTGAACGATCCGTCATCAGGTAAATCCGAGTACCCTCGCCAGACATGATCTCCCCGCACTGCTCCGCACGAGACCCGAACAACGTTACGCACGACATGCAATTGTGATACGCTCCCTCCTAGTGATGAATTCCCCTCGCCTCCGACATCGCTATCATAGTTCGCGGCGAAGACGCGCGATCCTCGATGATCGAGACGTTCAAGATCCTCTTCGAGATCTTCGCGATCCTCGTGAGAGACAGAGAAAGGGTGAAACGGCACGATTTTACGACTGTTCCGCACATGACAAGGTCTGCATGCGAGCATTAACTGCATTTTCGCGCGTCTCTCTCTCTCTCTCTCGGCGGAATTTTACGAGCGGCTTTTACGATTGCGGTTTGTTTATTACGCGGATGATAAAAGTCGGTAGGTGATTACGGGACGGCTGTAATTTAAACGAACGAGATTGCCGCGATCGAGTCACCTCTATTCCGCGCCAACCAGGCCGTCGCACCGCGTCGCGTCGCATCGCTTCCGCAGGAGGGTTCGTTCTCTTGTGGGAACGATTGTACCGCAATATCGTAACGCGAATTTACGTTATCCCATTGATGGGGAACGTGTCGTTCGAATATATAAAAGACCCTTTGCGACGTTTTTCGAATCATAATCATCTCTTTGCCTAGTTTTTCTCGCTATGACACGTACAGGATATATAACGTACAGGATTCTACCAATTTAACGTTATTTTAGGACGAATAGTTCCTTATTTCCTTGTATCGATCGAGATCGCGTTCGCTCGTAAATGAGAATAATTGGAAATAGATGCATTCAAATGGGAAACATATGAAGTCGGCATCATGCCATTTCTCTGTGTTCTCTCTTTCCCTCTCCATATATTTCTTTCCTCGATATTTATTTCGGTTACCCCTTCTTTCGCCTGTTTTCTCTTAGCCACTCCATCCTCCGCAATCGTTTATAAGAATCGTGGCAAGTATAAATTATCAGGGCAGAAGTTAATCCAACTCCCCTTATCCTCTTTCGCGTGATAATAATTATTCTCTCTTTCGCGGCAAGTCGACTGGGAAATGGGTTCTTTAGCCATCGGACGGGACACTTCGTAGATCGTGCCGGAGATCATCCGTTTATTCGCGCCCAGGTGATTATTCCTACGTCTCGCGGTGGCGAGACAAACGGCAGAAATTTAAAGGGGAGTAATCGCGAGATTTCCGGACGCGCGGCGCGCGTCGGCACGTGGTAGGAGCCAGCCGGATTAGGAGCTACTGAAATACGCCGGCGCCATTATGCGCGGCTTGCGCCGTAATCGCGCGGGGGAGTCTAATGACTTAACGCCGAATTATCGCGCCGACGACCGAAGGCTCCGTAAATCTACTTGGCATCGCCCGCCCGTTAATCGCCCGTCTCTTACCGCCCGAATTAGTCCCGAATTAGTTGCAAATCCCCCGCCTGTGATATATCGGTCGGATACGAAAGTACCCCAGGTTTTTAATCAGCGTCTTGGAATTGCGTTACGTTACTCCTCGATATGGCACGATAAGGCGCGATAATAAACGCTCGCGCTCTTAAATATAGTCGTCACGTGAGTTACTTCCGGCGGAAGTGCCTCTCGCGAAGAGATATCGATAAAAAGTCGCATACACTTAGACGACTTGCGATTCTCAAAATTGTTATAGTCTTAATATATGCACGGCGCACTGGAGTAAAGCTATCATCTCGCGAGTGTTTTTATCGTGCGCGAATGAAATAGATATTCTAGATGAGTGTGTTTAATATACATTTTGCGAATAAACACGGGAATTTGAGCTTTATTTTTCGAGCGTGCATTTTCAATTTTTCATACGCAAAACAGTCTCGATTACGTGCATTTTTTTTGTATTTAAACGAGTTTTTATATATTTAACCGATCGTTCGGTATTCATTTAAATTGATATTTTTGTGGAAATTTTATATATATGCTACTGTTTTATGTATGATTTTATGACTGATTAAAAATCAGTATCTTGTTTTTAGAACGTTAATATTTTGCAATTCATAAAAATATACTGTGAATTTTGGTTTATAACATTTTATTATTTTGAAAATAGTTCTTTATATTGATGATTTTTGTGTGTGTATTATTTTATTTGATAAAAATTAATAAATATATAACATAAGAATTGAAAATATTGAAAAATATAAACAATTAATCAAACAGAAATTTCTGCGTTACTTGTATTATAAAATTAGATTCTTGAAAGTTTGTTAAAAATATGAATATATTAGATTACGTATATTCTGAATTTCTATGTATTATAAGCGATTTATAGAGATATTTTTTATTATTCATATTGTTTATATAGTATATGATTTTATTAATTCATAATAATGTTGTTGAAAATACAATATTACGTTTATCTCTAAAATTGCATTTATTCGTTCGATCTTACAAACAACATACTTTTACTTACTATTTTAGATCAACATATCTATTTTTCATGCTGACATTTATGTAAAATTGTCCCATTCACATATCATTGACAGATTTCTCAATGAATCTATAATATTTTATTCTTCTCAAAATTATTATTTGGGATAGAAGATTTAGTTCTATCAAACTTCAGCATATAAAATTAGCATTTTAATTTATAAATTGAATCTTATGAATATAAGATATTAAAAGCTTCTTTTCTAGTTTAAGTAGATAAAAATTTAATTGAACTGATACTTAATTTAAAATTTAATTGTAAAGTGTTCATATTAAAAATTGTATTACACAAACATAATATATATTGTGATTTATTATAAACGTTTTCTGTTTTATTAAAAGGGGGTACAAATTTCTGAATTAATAAATTCTATGAACTTTTTTATTATAATTATATTTGTCACAGGTGTTGACGCGGTATTAATCGCTCATTACATCATCTTCATTTGCAGTTTAAATCGATCGTAGAATTTTGTACTTTGATCGAAATGACGTTTGCAACAAGCAATCTGGTAATGGAAAGGCTAAATTAATTCCTAAAATAAGTGTTCCTCAAACACAAAATGTCAGTTCTCCGACGTTTACAAGGAGCAATTTGATTTGTTAAGTACACAGTTTGAGATAGCGGAACAATTATCGCATATTTCCTATTTTGAAGTGACGGCTGACGGTATGATTGACGCGCGAACGTATATTTTATTCACAGAAAAGGACTTACGTTTTTAATAAGTTTCTTCCTTACTGTCATGTTTTTATTAACGCAGAATGTTCAATTTTAGTTTATATATTAATTGTTAATGACAGATTCAATAAGTCTAAAATAGTAGTTTATTCTTTCTTAAAATTATTATCCGAGATGGAAGATTCTTCTATTAAACTCTACTTCTATTAAACTCCAATATAAAAAATTAAACTCCAATATAAAATTAAAATTTTGATAAATTGAATCTTGCAAATATAAGAAGATATTGAAAGCTTCTTTTTTAATTTAAATCGATAAATATTAATTGAATTGATACTTAATTTGAAGCTTAATTGTAAAGTTGTTACACTAAAAATTGTATTATACAAATACAATATGTATTGTGATTTTTTATAAATTTGTTGCTGAAAATTTTATTAATATGTATAACAAAATATGACCAAAAGAATATAAATATGTAATATTACCAATTTTTATGAGATATATATTCATATGTTTGTAATTTCTATATCTTGTTTCATATCGTATATCAAAGACAATAATCAAATAAATGTCGAACGCAATATTCTCTCACACATATAATAAATAATTTTTATAACTAACGATAAGATATAATAAAATACAGGGAGACGTACGTTGACACACAATTCCGATATTCCAAGAACGAGTTATATCTTCTTAATATAGTGAATATTGTCTTCTTATATACTATCTTTTCCTAATAATGCATCGCGCCGAGCAATTAATTGCAGGAATCCGTGATTGGTAAATTGTATGTTATTTACCAGTGTGATTTTGCGTTTGATTGCATCTAATTCGCAAACAGCAAACCACTGTCGACACACCTCCGCGTATTTGCACGCGGAATCGGTATTAAACTAGCAACTCTGTGCTTCGCGCTTCGAAATCTCCGTAGTACGAAATACGAACGCGTACGTTAGATAAATATGCGCAGTCAACATACACGCTTTGGCACACCCTAGCTTCGGTAGGTATGTGGTTCTTAGTTTTTTTTCTTTTTTTTCGTTGCACGCACCGTCATGTCTCATGCATCTATCTTTTGGCATGAGCAAAGGGGAATGTATAATGACACGCGCGCGCGCGCGGTTCACAGCCTCAAAGTGCATCAACGTTATTCGCTTACGCGATGGAAGCGCTTTTTAAACATGACGATAAGTCTGGAAAATTATGTGTTTCTCGTAATTTATATTTAATCTAAAAAATATATATATTCCTTTTGTTAATATTTTTAATTGCAAATGTGTAACACTCTAATTAACAGGGCACAAGGATGAAACTCACAAACAAAAAGTAATATAGTTTAGATTTTAATGAATAAGCAAATTACCTTCATTCATTTGATAGTAATGTTACATTTCTTAAAACATCAAAGTATATGCTGAATATTTTTATTACGAGATTACAAAACTTTATTTCATATTCCAACGTCATGTCGCATAAAGTCTTTTAATTATTTTGCTCTTATTTAATTCGCCGTTAAAGTTGAATGGCGCATTTGGAAAGCGGTGTTATTTTGAAGCTGCTTAACTTTTCGAGACTTATTATTTTACTATTGTTAAATAAAGTTTTATTCCTAGATTCCTAGATTTAGGAATAATACGTGACTCTTTTTCGAATTCTATATATTGTTTAAATTCTATTATTTTACTATTCGAAACACATTACTTTTTTTAATTATACAAAAGTATAATCGTTGCTGTGCAAAAATAAAAATATGGACAGTTAATAATATTAACATAATAATAAAAATTTTCTACATAGATATAAGAACGAAGATCTAAGAACGAAGACGATGTGATGGTAGATACGTTGAAATCGCACGGAAAACTCATTAG